TATTATTTATATTGCCAGATAAATATTTGGCGGTCGCCATATAATTTTCAGGTGGCCGCCAAATAAGTTATCTGGCGGCCGCCAGAAAAATATTCTTCTACCTGGCACCTACTGGCTTCCGTATGTTTCGAATATTACCTAATAAAATTTTGAATAATGATTATATGAATATTTTCGGAACTGGCTGGAGAAATTTACGGTAGTACAATGCATTCGGGCGAGGAAGAGGGGGAGGGGGCTAAATCAGTTTTATAAGTGGAAAAACCTATGAATTAAATTTTTTTCCTCCGCATAACCGTGACTTGCCAATGTCCATAAATGACTAAAATAAATTTTCAGCGCTTATTGAGAGATAAATATTTTTCAATTGATCTGAAATTAGACTGAAACGTTATAAGAAAGAATTAAATCCAAACCATTATGGTCTCCGACGATGTATTACATGGAAAACTCTTTACATAACGCAAAATCGAATTTTGTTTAAGAATACAGTTGTGTTGTTGTGAGGAGTAATTTCTTTTAAATATAAAAATGTACGTCACACCTGAAGGAGGGATGCAGAAAATGTATGCTTAAAAGAGAAAGTAGCAGAAATCCCCCCCCCCCCTCCATGATTGGTCTCTAAATTTTATGTTTGATCATGAACACCTTTATCCTCTGCGGAAATCTTCATCCTGATAAATTGTATGTATTCATTCATTAAAAAATATGAACCCTAACCACACTGCAAATTCCGAATTCTCTTCCTGTGGTAATGCACTATTATCTGCGTAGGGGAAATAAATAAGTGCAATCAAATTTTAATTTTGTCTTTACTTAAGCAAAATTGTCATCTATAATCAAGCAGGAATAAACACACTGGTATTATTTTTTTCAAAAATTAATCCTTCTTTTCCTAAGAATAGGTACTTATTTATCATGGAGAATATAATGACTGGCTAACGGTCAAAAACTTTCCTTCATTTGCAAGTCATGTACCATGATAAAAGTTTGTGGATTCTGCAGATACGTGAAGGAAGGAGGGAGGGGGGGGGTTCCTTTCGTTAATGAGAAAACAGATTTCAGTGCCGAAATGATCACTGGATAAAAATTATATTACAGCGATAGGTATTATTTGCGTTAATAATGCAGTGTTTCTTCAGGATATCTTGTGTATCTGCTTCCTGTGATAAGTGTAGTGGCGGCTGGAGAGGATGATTTCTTTATTAAGTCCTTCGGGTCATTTGTGCAAGGAAAGGTGCAATCGAAACTGCTCCTCCAAACTGTGTTAATATATAAACCTGGATTTTCTTCTGAAATGCTAAAATCATCGATCATAAAAATATCAAGGTAATTAAAAAAACTACATTTGTAATACCATCTGTAGTCCAAGGAGATTTTTGTATGCAGTTTTTACACCACAAGCATGGAAATGTGAAAACAAAATAAACGACACTGCTAAGAGCAACTAAATAAGGAGTAGAACTCCTGCTCTAGAGATATATTGTACAAACAATGAACACAACTGGGTAAACCATTCTTTCTTCATATAATGTAAACAAACTGTCTTTAATTTTATGTGTTTAAATGAAGATTAAAACCTTTTGCACTACCCGGACCTTTAAACGTAGGCAGACCTTTTTTTATACGGGCCGGACCTTTTCTTATAAAAGGCGGACCTTATTTGTTATCGTATTAGCCCCCCCCCCCTCCCCCCGACCTTTAAACGAGGCGGACCAAATATCATGCGACACCGGTCGGCAGGGGGTGCTTACTCCTCCATGGCACTGTGAACTCGAGTGTTTTTAACGTCCGTGTTAATTTGCCCTGCTCACGATTTGTACGGTTTCAACATAGGCACTCCCCAGCTTAATTGTTAAAAAAAAATATATCTACTATACTGTAAACATAACATATTTATAATATAGTAGATATATATTTTTTAACAATTAAGCTGGGGAGTGCCTTTGGGTTTCAATGGACTTTTCGGGCTTATTACTGTTCGTTATCTCCATATTTGATTTAAAATATAAAACATTCAAGTACCTATGAAGACAAGAATCCTAATCAGTGATGAGAACGGTGGTAATTAATGAATAAAAGGCACAAAAGAGAGTATTTTGCATTCTTTTTTGAAAATGTCCCCGATTAGATACAATGAATCAAGCACTGGTGTGTGAATATTTAATAAGTGTGAAATAGGTCCCCGTTTGTGCTGTAAAAAGTGCTTGGCTTAAAATTGAAGATATTGACATATTCTTATTATATTCGCCATCAGAGTTATAGAAGGACTAATATTTTTGGTCAAAAGTCAATGAAATAATAAAAATAAAGAAGTCCCCACTTTGACAGTCTTTAACCCCTGTCCCCGTTTGACACCTTTCACATGTATGTGTGTGTGTGTGTGTGTGTATTAAATAACCAGCTGAATTAAAATACTCACTATGCTTACCTATTCAAAGGTTTATCAATTATGATGAGTATTAAAACATCGTAGGTTTACAATAGTGTCCCGAGAGGGCCATTTGCTAATTTAAGTGTAACAGAGCTTTCCTAACAACGAGACGTTGTGTTCACAACAAGCCGTTACGCCAACACAAATCACGCCGTCATGCTAACAAAACTTTAAACAACACTTTTTGACTGACGATTATTGATACAAACTTGGACAATCACAGCGATTGTGATCGGTCGACAGGGATGGATACTCCTCCATGGTAGCTGATCCCACTTCTGAAGTTTTCAGGGGTCCATGATTGCTCTGTTTCCAATTTGTACGCCAACTTTAAAATAATGTTTGCTTGCCCTCTCCCGACCCAGGATGAAAAAAATTTGGTCGGTAGGTATACATGTAGGTGGGATTTTTTTTTTTTTACTAGAAAATTTCAACGTCAATGCTGAATTTTCAAAATATTTTTTTTCCCGGAAGGCATAAAAAAAATAATTGCTCCCTGGAAGTTATAAAGAGTTTTGAGTCGAACCATTTTTAGCCAGTCGGTCGGGAGAGGGGCAAGCAATTTTTTTTAAAGATGGCCAGACTTTTTAGCATGAACACTGTTCGATATCTTCATATTTCATTCCATTTAAATTATGCCAAAAAATCAAATGAAATATCACAACAATAAAAATTCTTAGATGGATAATTATAGGTAATAATGAATATACATGTACGGACGGGTTAAATGAGTGAGTTTCTCTTATAATAGAATTACCGCGCTAGACTTAGCACTCTCACTCTCTCTCTCTCTCTCTGTGCGTGTGTATGTGTGTGTGTGTGTGTGTGCTAACAAAAATAGAAAATTATAGATTAAAGATAGAATATGTAAAAATTATAGATAATTATATTTTTGTTGACTTGCCTTGAAATGTAGTGGATATATATAAAAAAAATTTTATCTTGATTTGCATTTTCCCCATTTCTTTTTCTCTCCTAAGATGTATCATCTTTATCATTCCGTTTTTTATGTCTAGAGAAATCACAAAATTATCGATAATCAATGGCGGATTCTGGGGGTTGGGGGGGGGGGGTCGGGACCCCCCCCCCCATCATTTTTTTTTTTACAAGTGTCATTTAACAATATCTTTCATGAATGAGACTCTATCCAAGCCCATTGTTTTACACAGAGAGGTGAAATATACAGCCACCACGAGAAATCCCTTTCCGCTTGAGCGCACACAATTCACAGGTATTATATCAGGATAGTCCGTGCAGCTAGTGATGACACAAGGTCATACACTGACAACCAAAACTGCGCATAGTTATAACGGTATTGTGTTGGTATTGCTTAAGTAATATTCTTTCAAGAATTTTCTTTTTTCGATAATTGAATTTTACTTTATTGAACTACGTGAATAAGCTGTGATTTTAATAATTATTATTTAGAAAAAATAAATCAATACAATCAGGTATAATGAATTGTGGTAAAACTCATATGTATAAAGTAGAAGGTCTTGTCCAAACAAGAATTGGCCGCTTTTTTATTGATAGTTTTTCAAGATTCTTTTTTTCAAACATTGGACTAGTAAGTGGGTAAAAAAAAAAAAGAATAAAAGAGTGCATTTATGTTAGAAATTATAATTAACCCCATCCCCATGAATAAGCAATAATTCCAACATTTTCCCAAAATACTTTATATTTATTCTTCGATATGAAATATCATTATTTGTTTATTTTGCAAATTATATGAACAGTATAGATAGTCAAATAATTGAAAAAAGTAATTAGGCCCGGGTTTCTACAGAATCCAAATTTTCTAAGTGTTGGGAGAATGCACATCAGTTGTATTTTGGAAGTCAGAGCTTCACATGCGACACATTGGACGCGCATTTTAAAATGAAGAATTGGATATTATATATCAAATGGCGATATTTCTAATTTTATCAGATTTTACATTTATTTATTTTTTTTAAGAAAAGTCTCATTTTTCATGTTAACATGGAAGTTAAAAATAAATCCCAAAATTTTAATTTCTTGTTCAAATTCTTGAAAATTTGGGTAGGTCGGTCTTGAAAAACAAGTGACAAAAAACTAATTAATTCAATCTAAAATGTTGGAAAATGCACTATTTGGAGCCAATTTTAAAGAAAAGTTCTCGAGGGAGACCCCCGAACCTCCACCTATGGGATGGGGACACCCCCTCCCAAACCCTCCCCTTCGACCCTACGGGCCCCAGAACCCCCCCCCCCCAGAACTTCTGGATCCGCCACTGATAATAATTCCCATAGTACGACGATCTGAATTTTCTGAATCCGTACCTGCAGGGCATGCACTGTGATCCATAACTTTAATCGGGCTCCAGTTTCAATTTTCCCCAGTCTATATTTATGCTTATTTTATTTTATTTATTTATTTATTTATTTTCAAGGGAAGATAATCAATCAAAGCATGGATACGACCCATGTCACGTGCTTCAATGAAGACCAATGAAATCATCAGGTAAAGCTTCAAGATGGCGGACTCCATGATTCTTTAGGATTGAAAATGAAATGTGTTTTGTTACATAGCCTGCTTTCCTGATCACATATAAACGTCAAATTCTGTAGAAGATACTATCAATTGATGTGTAAAATTGACAAATTTCTAACAAATTTTAAGGTAACTAACTGGAGAGTGCTTGACAACAGATTTTCAGTAACGGAAAAAGTACATATCATGCGAAGATGTATTCATGCCTTGATGTTTTCGTGTCAGATTTGGGGATATGCACATAGATATTTAAACCATACTCTTACTACTACAAATCTATCACACACAGTTTGAATTTTATGGATATATAATAAAATATTCACAGTGAGACTCGTAACAAAAAGGGGGGTTTTGTGAATATGTATCATTGGCATCACAGACTAAAGTAAGGAAATGTTAGATTATAATTCTTTACGCTTAGTTAAAAATAAATGCTAAATACTTGAAAGAAATTCTCTGTTTCTGCACACAGACAATAATATTTTCTCATGCTGAGCTGTAGCTGTATGACATGTATAAATGTATAAAAATGCATTCTTAAGCTGATTTTTCTTAATTGATCAGTTGTAAACATTGTCTTATAGATAAATGAGATGAAACTATGATGTTTGAAAAGACTCGTAAGCAATGGCACAGAACATTTCCATAGACAGATTTTCCTGTCGCATAAGATGTCTAGCACTGCCAGTCAGTCCTCAAGCAGTAATGTTGGAGGTGTTACAACACCAACATCTGCCATGCCTGATTCAGGCTTGGGGATGAACGCCAACCCTCCATCTGATCCAAACAGACCCAGAACTCAGAAAGAGGAAGACGAAGAAGCATTTAAAGAGCTTGTAAGATTAATTATTTAGATAAAAAAATTGAATTGTTTTTCATGTAGAATAATTTTACCATTAACATGGATGTTTAAGCTATAGTTGTTATAAATATGTGAATGAGTACCAAGCACATATGTATAGAGGTTATTTCTGCAATACCAGAATAATATTTTATTTAAACTTAAAAAAATCTGTAAAAAGGTATTGGTGTGCTGAGTAGTGGTGTTCCAATCATCGATTATAATAAAAAATCCGTCGATTGCTGGCATAATCCAAGCGCTCGATTACAAAATTTTTATTCCGATCAATCGGGTTATTTATTTATTTGAACAAGCGTAATAGTTTTTAAGCCGAATATTCAGCCCCTATTTGTCTATTAATTTATTTGTGTATCGTAATGGCGCAGACGAACAGACATTGTATTCATACCTGAGTAACAACGCTCATTTCTGGGAATGGACGTACTTTGGATTATACAAAATGAACAAAGAACCAGCTGGACTAGATGGAACGTTCTATTGTTAAAATGATATTTTCCTACGGACTAGGGCTTGTCCCGAGACACAGATTATTCTAAACTACAGCTACCACAACAGAATAATATAAATATTAACCATATAATAAACTAAATTGGCAGACTTTGTAAATGTCCGATTATGATTGATAATTAGTTAGGTACAGTAGCCCAATCATCAATCATGAAATTCTTACCGATTCCCATCACTAGTGCTGAGGGATATTTATGCAAATTAATTGATTAAATGTCCGTTTTACACTGAAAGTAAACCAGTATGTTATTCCTTACAGTGTGCAAGCAATGGACTCAACCACAGTAAAATACAAAGTGGAGAACAGTGCACTGCCGAGGTGCTGGAGATGTTTTTCTCTGGGTATCCAAGAATTATCTACATGGACAAATTCCCATGCCTGCATACACTGGTGTTCATGGGACAAAGTATCAGTAAAATTGAGGGTTTGAAGTCTCTTACAGGACTGAAGGAGTTATGGATCAGTGAATGTCAGCTTAAAGTAAGAACAAACTTATTGTCACTCTATTCAGGGTTCTCCACAAGGGGTTTAACCATGGTGACCTGCCATGGTTGATTTTATGTGCGCCATGGTTAAACGAGCTGTGCCATGGTCAAAATTGGTGGCCGCCATGATTAAATTCTTATTGCATTTCAGTATTGACACCCACTTTTTTATGACTTGAGTAGTTAATTGTGTTTATACTATAACTGCCATGCACCTCTCAGGTCTCTAGAGAAAGCAGACTGTGCTAAACAATCACGGTCATTGACTATGCTGTGAAGCGTGTCAATAGAGAGTCAATTAGCTGACGAAGAATATCTTGAGAGTTAATTTTCATGTACACATGTTATTTCGGGGAATTCCAATGTGTTCACTATAACATAACAGATTTACAATAGATAACATAAGGACCAGTAACAACATGATAATGGACGAGCATCCAATTCAAATTTCTGTGCCCAGAAAAAATTAATCCTTTTTCCTATTCCTTTGCATTTAATCAGTTCCCCATGCTCTGTTTTTAGCTCACCTGAGCTGAAAGCTCAAGTGAGCTTTTCTGATCACCCGTTGTCCGTCGTCCGTCCGTCTGTCCGTCCGTCCGTCTGTAAACTTTTCACATTTTCAACTTCTTCTCAAGAACCACTGGGCCAATTTTAACCAAACTTGGTACAAAGTATCCTTGGGGGAAGGGGAGTTTAAATTGTTAAAATAAAGGGCCAAGTCCCCTTACAAGGGGAGATAATCAAGAAAAGACAAAAATAGGGTGGGATCATAAAAAAATCTTCTTCTCAAGAACCACTGGGCCAGAAAAGCTGAAACTTATATGGAAGCATCCTGGGATAGTGTAGATTCTAAATTGTTAAAATCATGACCCCCGGGGGTAGGGCGGGGCCACAATAGGGAATCCAGGTTTTACATTGAAATATATAGGAAAAATCTTGAAAAATCTTCTTCTCAAGAACCACTGGGCCAGAAAAGCTGAAACTTATATGGAAGCATCCTGGGATAGTGTAGATTCTAAATTGTTAAAATCATGACCCCCGGGGGTAGGGTGGGGCCACAATAGGGAATCCAAGTTTTACATTGAAATATATAGGAAAAATCTTGAAAAATCTTCTTCTCAAGAACCACTGGGCCAGAAAAACTGAAACTTATGTGGAAGCATCCTGGGGTAATGTAGATTCTAATTTGTTCAAATCATGACCCCCAGGGGTAGGGCGGGGCCACAATAGGAAATACAAGTTTTACATTGAAATATATAGGAAAAATCTTGAAAAATCATCTTCTCAAGAACCACTAAGCCAGAAAAGCTGAAACTTATGTGGAAGCATCCTGGGGTAGTGTAGATTCTAAATTGTTCAAATCATGACCCCTGGGGGTAGGGCGGGGCCACAGTAGGGAATACAAGTTTTACATTGAAATATATAGGAAAAATTTTGAAAAATCTTCTTCTCAAGAACCACTGGGCCAGAAAAGCTGACGCTTATGTGGAAGCATCCTGGGGTAGTGTAGATTCTAAATTGTTCAAATCATGACCCCCGGGGGTAGGGCGGGGCCACAATAGGAAAAACAAGTTTTACAATGAAATATATAGGAGAAATCTTTAAAAATCTTCTTCTCAAGAACCACTGAGCCAGAAAAACTGACGCTTATGTGGAAGCATCCTGAGGTAGTGTAGATTCTAAATTGTTAAAATCATGACCCCCGGGGGTAGGGCAGGGCCACAATAGGGAATCCAAGTTTTACATTGAAATATATAGGAAAAATCTTGAAAAATCATCTTCTCAAGAACCACTAAGCCAGAAAAGCTGAAACTTATGTGGAAGCATCCTGGGATAGTGTAGATTTTAAATTGTTAAAATCATGACCCCCGGGGGTAGGGCGGGGCCACAATAGGGAATCCAAGTTTTACATTGAAATATATAGGAAAAATCTTGAAAAATCTTCTTCTCAAGAACCACTAAGCCAGAAAAGCTGAAACTTATATGGAAGCATTCTGGGATAGTGTAGATTCTAAATTGTTAAAATCATGATCCCCGGGGGTAGGGCGGGGCCACAATAGGGAATACAAGTTTTACATTGAAATATATAGGCAAGAACTACTGAGCCAGAAAAGCTGAAACATGTGGAAGCATCCTCAAGTAGTGTACACTCTAAATTGTTCAAATCATGACCCCGGGGATGGGGGGGGGGGGGGGCAATAGGGAATCCCAAGTTTTACATTGAAATATATAGGAAAAATCTTTAAAAATCTTCTCCAGAACCACTGGACCAGAAAAACTGAAACTTATGTGGAAGCATCCTGGGGTAGTGTAGATTCTAAATTGTTCAAATCATGGCCCCTGGGGGTAGGGCGGGGCCACAATAGGTATTACAATAGGGGAAGTCTGGTAATGAACAGCATGGCCAAAGTTACTCAGGTGAGCGATGTGGCCCATGGGCCTCTTGTTAAGTATGAACTTTATTATCTTTCTGTCCCTAAGTGCAAATCACATTTTTAGTTTTAGAGTTACCTCCCGTTTTTATGAAACGTCGCGTGGTGCTATTTTTAGCACTAGGGCATGTGGAGAAGTAAACAATGGCTCAGGAAACTTGGCGAAAAATGCAATATGTAGAAAAAAGAACGTTTAGAAAAACAGAATTGAGAAAGAAAAATTACAGTCATGTCAAATTTATGCTCCAGACCTGGTTATATTAAGTTATGATACTTTTACCAGGTATGCAGTCAGTATGTTTTCATAGACCATGCATGCAGTTGAAAAAGCTTAGGCATTGTTAGGATGTTGGTTTTCGTTCGTCTTTTAGTTTGTGTGTCTGTTTACTTTTATATTTTCAAAATACTGCCCATTCATCAGTCTTAGTCATGTTTAAATAAAACATTTCATACAACAGGCAACATCAATTCTGTATATCAGTTTTTGAATAATGTTGCCAAGGATACTCTGTCAAAATATTCTTTTTTGAAATTCCTTCAAAACTTTCCTGCAGTTTTGGGCCAATTTTGGTACATTTTTTTGATTTTTATTTAATTTTTTTTAGCTTAAAAAAATTGTTGGTTATTTCAACTTTTCTTTTTGTGTTGCAGTGTTTAAGTTTTGTGAAACCAATCATTGATTAATGAAGGTTAGGAAGTCTATTACACACATTCGTGTTTTCGGTCACATTTCACCTTCACTCAGCTTCCTCCATGGTTAAATTTTCAAATGTGGAGAACCCTGTTATGCATTACAAAATATCTTTGTCATTGCAGAGAAGGTATCGATAGGCTTTGTCTGTTGCTTAATTGCTTAATCCTATTAACACATGTATTTCAATAAATAAAATATTTTTTAGATTGATGCTTTTTCTTTCTTTTGCAGAGCATTGAAAATTTGGAAACATGTTCAAAACTTGTAAAATTGTTCCTCTATGGAAATGAAATCTCTAAAATAGAAAATATTAGTCATTTAACACATCTTGAGGTTCTTTTTTTGAACAACAACAAAATAAAGAATATTGAGGTAAGTTACGCTATTTATATATTTATATAGATATGGCAAATATTTAATACCATTTATAAAACATAAGCAAGCAGATAATTAACTTATACAGGGTACATGTACAAGGAAGCATTATTATGGAAATGACACTGGAAATATTCACTGCAGTTGTGTTTGGTAAATTACATTGTTGTAGGTGTACTCAGTAACTGACTTTTCAAAATGGAATAATGCATCACTTGGTAGATTTAAATAAAGGGCAGTTGGAGGATAAAATTCAAACGAAATAAAAATGACAAGTGTTTAACTTGTCCACACTGTTCTGTTGCAGAATTTAGAAAAACTGAGGATGCTGGATACTTTGAATTTAGCTGAGAACCAGATAGATAAAATAGGTAATATATTAATAGTAAACAACTAGCTAGAATTAGCAACTTGCATGAGAAGGAATCCCCATAAATTTTAATGCTGAAACAAATGTAAAATTTAAACCACTGACCTTTGCTTTGCATTTTTTCCAGGCCACTTTTTAGATGCTAATCATAAATTGGCTGAACTGAATTTGTCTGGAAATCCTATTTCATCTCTCAGGGTGAGACCACTTTTCATAAGACTTTCTGACATAAATTTACTTCACATTACAGGAAAGCAATGCTGCATATACATGTACTTAATATGCATATGTATTTGTTGTATTTTCAGCTTTGATTACTGCTTGAATGCAGTGGTCTATATGTGCACATTTTAGTTGCATTTTCAACATTACCGGGCCCCAAGACCATAAACTGAGAACAGACTTAAGTCAAAATTTTAATTTTTGATATCTTATGTTTCATTCAATGTATTAGCTTAAAAAATTTTCAAATGTACAAAACACTTCAATTCAAACATATGATGAAAAGTTTATTTTATTATCAAAATTATTTGGAAAGATGTATCGATTTGAAATTTTGACTTAAATTTGTTATCAGTTTATGGTCTTGGGGCTGTTAATCATAGTTTTGAGCTGTATACTAGTATATTGAATTCATTTATCCATCAATATTCAGGAGCTGACACACTTGATGAGGCTGCCAGTATTAATGTCCCTGAGCCTGAAGGACCCCCAGTTCCCCCCTGCCCCAGTCAGTCTGCTATGTAACTACTCTACACATGTCCTTTATCACCTTCCCAACCTCAGCAAATTAGACACTTATGATGCCAGCAAGAATGTGTGTGAGCTTGCAGAGGTAATTCGTACTGCATATGCATAAACTTAATGTAAATCCAAATAGTGATGAGGGTGTCTCTTCATGTGTCCATGCATACGTAACACTAAGGGGTACCCATCTCTTATCCACAACTCTTATACCAATGTATTAAATTTTATGAAACTTTTACAGAATTTTTACTACATAGTGTCATTGTGCACACTTATTTTACATTTCAGTCAGAGATACATTTTGGATTTAATTTCCCATTGTCAAAAAATGGACTTTGTCATTATGCTAATATGTGAGGGGAGGGGGTGTCATTTTGTGAACTTGGTGCTATTTTTTGAGCTCAGTGCTCACAGTACCTCTATTTTTTTTTTTGAAAAATTGAGGACATGTACATTTTCATAAGTGTCAATAGGGGTCGAATGTATTGCTGAGAGGCTAGAGCAAAAAAATCATGATGTATGATAGTATTTTTTTCATACCTATTCATTGTGTACATCTTTTAAAAAAATACACTCAGTATTTGAATTTTTTGCTGCTCTATATTGTTAGGGAAAGAAAAAATAAATAAAAGTTCTTGGGCCAATTTTCTTAAAAACAGATGAAAATGTGCGGGTTTTTTATGCCCCGCCATGAATTTGGCCGGGGTATATAGTGTTTGTCATGTCCGTCTTCCGTCCTTCTGTCCTTCCGTCACACTTTGCGTTTAGCTCTGTTCAAAGCTCAGTTTCAAAGAAACTATCCAAGATATTTTTATCAAACTTCACATGCTGATAGATATTGATGAAAGCTATCCAACTGCATCAACATTTTTGACCTTGACCTTTCCTTTGACCTTGACCTCACTTTTTTTGAATTAGTGTATAGCTCAGTTTTAAAGATACCATTCAAGATAGTGTAATCAAACTTCATATGTTGATACATACTGATGTAAGCTATTCAACTGCATCAACGTTTTTTGACCTTGACCTTTCTTTTGACCTTGACCTCACTTTTCTTAAATTAGTGTTTGGCTCAGTTTTAATGAAACAATTCAAGATATTTTTAATAAACTTCATATGCTGATACATACTTTAGAGAGCTATTCAACTGCATCAATATTTTTTACCTTGACCTTTCCTTTGACCTTGACCTCACTTTTCTTAAATTAGTGTTTAGCTCAGTTTTAAAGATACCATTCAAGATAGTGTTATCAAACTTCATATGCTGATATATACTGATGAGAGCTATTTAACTGCATCAATATTTTTTGACCTTGACCTTTCCTTTGACCTTGACCTCACTTTTCTTAAATTAGTGTCAAACTTCATATGCTGACACATACTGATGTAACCTTTTCAACTGCATCAACAATTTTTGACCTTGACCTTTCCTTTGACCTTGACCTCACTTTTCTTAAGTTAGTGTCAAACTCATATGCTGGTACATACTGATGTAAGCTATTCAACTGCATCAATATTTTTTCACCTTGACCTTTCCTTTGACCTTGACCTCACTTTTCTCAATTTGTGTTTAAATGTTGCATTACTAATATACCCTCGGCGGGGCATTCATGTCCTATGGACATATTTCTAGTTTTTTATCATTTTATTGGCGATAAATTAGATGCAGGAGGCATTATTTTAATTCCTGAATTTTTCCTAAAAATAACAATGTAAATAAAATCTTCCTTCATGATTATACTGGACTCATTTTGTACATATATTTAACATCCCACAAAATTACTAAATATACATTTTATCCCTATTTTTCGTGATCAAAGTGTCCGTGTCCAGTGACTGTTGATATCCAAGTTTATATGAAATGGCTACCAGAAATGAAAATTGAGTGATAAACTATGAGAAAATGAGGGTTGAATTTTTTTTCAGGATTTCTCTCCACATTACCAATTTTTTATTGAAAATACAAAAAAAAAAATTGCTTTGCTGTAACCTCAAAACCAATGTGTGTCGGCCCGATCGAGAACTGTTATTTTAATTTTATTCAGCCTTCTATTTTTTTTTGCATTTTAGATTTCTCATTTTTACATCACTTTAACACATGTTTCTCTATGTATATTTCTACCCATGACTATACACAAAAATGGCATAGTAAAAAACACAGCAAATTATTCTACACTGCATAAATTCATTTTCTTCCTTGAATTCTTTGGCAGGTGTTTGAGGCAAATTTTGCATTTGCTATCTTTTCCTGGAGAAGATGATCTAGAGTTATGTGGTCACCAAGAATCATTTTGTAAATGTTCAGTAAAATTGATAATTTTTTTTTTAACATAAAAGGCCACAGTATTGAAGAAAAAGATGTACTATAACATGAGAGTAAAGACCATAAAACGCAACATGGCTGACATTGTGTCCAAGATGGAGATTTACAAATACAGACTACTAGAGTTTCCACATGAGAGAATTCGTAATCTCATGAACTGTATAAAGGAAGTAAGTTTTGTGGAATAGTTTGTCTTGTTTAATGTAGATCAACAATTCACAAATGACACCTAGATAAAATTTGAATTAGTAGTGACATTTTTTAATTTCAGTACCTTTGTAATTAAGAAATAATTTTTGAATGGAATACATGTGATTTTCATTCTAAATTAGAGATTTTTTCATTGAAATTTTTATTCATCGGCAAACTGCTAATGTACTGTCATGAACTTTCAAACTTTTATCTTTGCATGTTTTTATAATGACAGAAAATTGATTAAAGTGTGATATCTAACTTCATGATTGTACTGTGTGTAGTAAATTCAAATCCAAAGAAAAAAAGTTATTGATATATCAAAGATTTATGGTTTCAGTTTTATGGAATTGGATAAATTTCTTTGTTATCATATCGGGTTGAGTCTTTTGAAATACTTGTGTCTAAATGATATTCAATTCACTTTCTTGAAACTTATAACAAATTTAAAAAAAATAAATTTGTCAGTAGTCTTAATGTAGTATGGGACATTTTCAGGTGCGTAGAGAGTTTGAAGATTTGATGATGGATACAATAGATATATCAGTGTTTAATGACATGGACCATGACAGCAATTTATTATTGGTTCAGGATTTAGAGGAGGAGGTGATTTCTGATACTAACCTCTCCCCCTCAACTCCCACCAACCCCCTAACCTTGGGCTGTATCATATATTTTGACCCTCATATATTGAATGTCACTCATTCTAACAAATTATACTCTGTAGAATGTTTATAGCCTAGATTATAATAAATGTAGTTGTACCCAGTGTATATATTAATCAGAATATCTTTGTTAATGTAGTAATTTTAATTGCATGTGATCTGACTGGGTAGTGAAAGTGAAACTAACATAATCATTATCTTAAAATTACTAGTATTACAGAACATAACTCTTGAAATTTTATAGAGTGCATTGCATGATGCTGCAGTACTGTTCCTACTTACGCAGGAATTTTTTTTAGAAATTAGAAATGCATGAGGATGTTTTCAAATTCTAATTAGGGCCACAACAACACAGGATATACATATTTCATGATTTGTAGCTTACATGTACCTAGCTTAGCCAATTAAAGGCTGAAGTGAGTTTATCTGTTCAAAGGGGTCTGGCATCCATCTATAGTCTGTGTCTTGTGTCCTCTGAAAACTTTTTATTTCAACTTTTCTAGAATCACTTGGTCAAGAACCACTTGGTATAGGATAAATACAGTCAAACGTCGTTATCTCGAACTCGATTGGACAGAGAAAAAAACTTCGACATATCCAAGGGTTCGAGATATCGAGGGTAAAATACTTAAGAAATGCATGGTAAGGACTTCCCAATCACTTTGACATATCCATGGTATTCGAGATATCCATGTTCGAGATACCAAAGTTCAACTGGATATAGAAATCTTCTTCTCAAGAACGGCTTGGTATTAATATTAATATTGGTACTAATAATATTAGTAATATTATTTTGTAAGCATCCCAAGGTAATGCAGATCCAAATTTGTTCAATTAATGCCAGAATAGGGGATCAAAGTTTTACTTTGGAATAAATAAAAACTATCTAAAAATTTCCTTTTAAGAAACAGCAGGACCATTTAATAATTTAATAATTTTATTTAAAACAGATTTAAATTTGTTCAAATAATGGTCCTGGGGAATAGGATGGGGCAACAATAGGAATCAAAAGTTTACATGGGAATTATAGGGAAAAAACTTTAAAAATCTAGTGATATAAATGTGCAAGCATCCTCAAGAAGTACAGATTGAAGTTTCTTTTTTTTTTGTTATATTCAAAATATGACCCCCTGAAATAGGATGGGGCAACAATAGGGGATCAGTATTTTAAATGGAAATTAATGTATAAAGAATTCTTTTGAAAAAAAAAAGCAGGGTCACAATTAATTACATTCACAAGGAAAAACTCCAAGATTGTGTGGATTCATTTATTTTTAATATGGATCTTGGGATTAGAGTTAGGTTAGAAACTTAGAGCAGTTTTCACCTGATGCATATTTACTTCTGCTGCAGATCAGCAAGACCATTTTATGATATTGAAGCATCCCCAGGGTGTGTGTGGATTCAGGTTAGTTTATGTAATGATCCCTGGGGCTAGGATGGGGCCACAGTTTGGGGATAAGAACTGTTACATAGGCCCATGGGCCTCTTGTTTGATATATCAAGTTATATTTTAGCTTGCCTGAGTCTTTTCTGTTCAAAGTTTGTTCATCATCATTCTCTTGTTGAATCTTGGTGCAAGGCATCCTTGGATCAAAGAGGGTTTGTCTTTGTTCAGATGAAGGGCAGTCTTTTTTCTAAGGGGAAATAATTAAGAAATAAGGAAAACAGGGAAGGTTAATTAGAAGATGTCCTTTAGAACCCCAAGGCTTCAGAAGAAGAAATGAAGATAAAGATTCATCAACAACAAAGAATCATTGTTCAAATCATGGCCATCAGATCTTGGATAGCACCAAAGTTGGGATTCAAAATATGTGATAATTTTTAAATTCTTCTTTTTTGAATACAGCTAGACCTTAATAAGTCAAATCAATATGTGTGCATCCCCATGTCATGGAGAATAAATTTGTTTCAAACATGATCTAGGGTTTAAAAAAGAAATGCAACCAGTTGCAAAAGATAAAGTTATTTAACAAATCTCTCTGGAACAACAGCCTAAAATTATCTTATTTATATGTATGCAACTTTCCTTAAGTAATGTACATTTTTAAAATATTATTTAGATTCAGTTTTATGCAAATCATGGCATCTGGGGTCAAGGGGGCTGGGGAGACATACATATGGTAGTTTTTAGCTCTACTGGTCAGAGACCAGAAGAGCTTATGCGATAGTAAGGTGTCTGTCGTCCGTCCATCTGTCTAGCTGTCCATTCGTCTGTAAACAATTTTTCAAAACGCTACTCCTCCTACAGTTTTGATCTGATTTCAATATAACTTGGCACACAAGTAGACTACACTAAGATACATAATTCTGTATATTAGATTTTGATTTCAAAGGAAGATGTTGCCAGGTTACTAAAAATAGAAATTTCTGTGAAATTTGTTCAAAATGCTACTCCTCCTACAGTTTTGGTCTGATTTCAGTACATGTATAACTTGGCACACAAGTAGACCATAATAAGATACATAATTCTGTGTATCGGTTTTTGATTTCAAAGGACGGTGTTGCCATGGTTACTAAAAATAGAAATTTCCTTGAAATACTTTCAAAATGCTACTCCTCCTACACTTTTGTCTGATTTCAGTATAACTTGGCAATTACAAGTAGAATACACTGAGATACATAATTGTCGTTATTGTTTTTTGATTTTGTTGAATGATGTTGCCATAGTTACTTAAATCCAAATTTCTGTAAAATTGTTTTAAAAGGCTATTTCTCCTACAGTTTTAGTCTGATTGCAATAAATCTTGCCACAAAAAGAGACTAAACCAAGGATCATTATTCTATTTATTGCTGTTGCAAAGTTTCAAGTCCAATGCTACTTTTATTTTCCTTTATAAGTACAAGCAGTAGAGCTACAGTCTCGTCAGAGACTTCTGGTTATAGTTTTAGGTAAGTATTAGTACTGGTATATGGATAATTGGATATATACATGTAGTCTTCTTATGAAAACAATATTTTAGTTTGATTTTGTCAAGTTAATACATTTGCAATCATTAATATACACTGTACATATAAGTGGACTTTGACATTAAGCATCAGGGTTCTCCACATAATTTAACCATTTGGGGGAAGCTGTACAAAAGGAAAATGCAAAAGAATGTTAACTCTATCAGTGTTCGAATTCACAGAAATTTTAGTAACCATGCAAGACTATATTATTCATGGCAATCAAAAACTGTTATACAGAATTCTAAATCTTAGTGTAGTCTTTAGGTGTACCAAGTTTTATTTAAATCAGACCAAAACTTTAGAGGTAGCTTTTTGAAACAATTTCATAATAAAAAAAATCCAGTAGCATGGGCTTATTACATGTTATTTATGTAATTATTTGTCAGAAAGGGAGCAGAATAATTCAGGTGAATAATGTGGCCCATGCATCCCCATGAAAATGTTGAGAAAATTAGTTTTGAAATCACATAAAATTTTTCTTTCTTGTGTGTGAAGAATTACCGTAGTACAAAATCATTCAAGATTGAGGCACAATTTCATTGAAATTAACACAATTTTTAAAAAGCACTGTCAGTAAATATTTGATATGAATGAAAAAAAACCCCACATATTATTGTATCATTTTAATTATTCTACAATGATTGTGACTATAGTTATTTATGCCAATTTATTTTAATCTGTATACAGTTGAAGATTCGGTATCTTGAATACTGATATCTTGAATACCATGGATATGTCGAAGTGAACAGGAAGTCCCTACCACTTATTCTTTAAGAAATTAACCTTTGATATATCGAAGTTTTTAAGGTCCCATCTAGTTCTAGATAAAGAAGTTTGACTGTACTTTTACGTGAATTAGCAATTAATTTAAACAATAAAATGCTTTCTTTGGTTGTTAGTAAGGGAATTAATGTTGCAGCTGTTGCAGAAAAAATGCATAACCTGCGGGACATGTAATTTTTTTTGCGATAGTTGCAACATTTAAATTCCCATACTAACAAACAAAGAAAGACATTTTATTGTTTATATTTATATCTGTACAAATAATCATTTAAAGTAGGATTTAGTAGACGAAATAGTGTATTATTGATATGTACGTCATTGTACATTTCATTGATGGAACAGCCACTGCTCAAGACACCTGTACAGGTTATATGCCTATTGCTGTGTTTACTGACTGATAAACAGCAATGGTTTTCTTAAGAAATAAAGATAATATTCAGTGGATGTAAATTTAGTGTACTAGCCACATACAGTCAAACCTCATTATCTCAAACCTGATGGGACTTAAAAGATACTTCGAGATATCCAAGGGTTCGAGATATCCAGGGTAAAATATTTAAGGAATAAGCGAATGGGACTTCCAAATCACTTCGACATATCCATGGTATTTCAGATCTTCCAAATCACTTCGACATATCCATGGTATTTGAGATATCAGTGTTCGAGATACAGAAGTTCAAATGTATATACTGAGCTAAATAAAATTTGTTAAGTACATTTTTGTGCAAACAATTATTTGTAGGTAATGTTTAAAGATCTATGAAGTCAGTTCTTTGTAAATTATTTTTGATGATTGATTTAACCAATCTTCTCCTTTTTTACTAATCCTTGGGACTAAAATTGTGAATCCAATATTTAACTTAGGTGCATTTAACACTATCAACATCATATTTATTAGAATACTCAGAATAGAATAATAGTATGGATTAAATTGCAGTGGTGACTGATACATGAATCTAACTATAAAAAAATATTCATATAGTACATTTGATTAATATGAAAGAGTTCTCAGTCATAATAGCTATGATTGCCACATTTAATTTTTTAGAAATTATTAACTTAACAATAATTAAAAGGCATATAGTTTGCTCAATTCTTTAACTTCAGTGATAGAGGTTTGGGAGATGAAATTTGCTTTTAACAAGGAGCTCAAAGGTAATCAGTTCATAGACAAGAGTAAGTAATGTGGGGTTTTTATTACTTTTTAGAGTAAGCTACAGAAACTGGACGAGAGCGGGGGATTTACTGCCAAGATGAATTCTCTCAAGGACAGGATGAAGAAATGGGAGAAAAAAGAAGCAGAGTAAGACTGGACTTAAATCATTATCCCATGGTCATACAAAATTCTGAATGAGATATGAAGTTTAAATAAATATTAATGATTGTTAAGATAAAAATAAATATTTTATTCCGCAGAGTTGAAAGCTACCAAAAGGAAGCTTTACGTAGAGTAGAAACCCAGGCCGAGGCAGTGATGCGAAGAATGGCTATTGAATTAGAGTCAGGGGGAAATGTGCGCTTTGAAGAGGGAACAACATCTGATGTTTGGTAATTAAATTTGGCTTATTTGATTGCAATTACCAGTACATTAGGCATTGGTTTATCACTGTAGGACTGAAAATTGACTTTTTAGACCACCAAAATCATTGGATTTGTTTATCTTTTGTAATAAACTTAATTTTTACCTTTTTCTACTTCTTGTACATTGCTGTAGAGAACTAATGAGCTAACTTCAACCAAATTTAGTGCAAAGCAATCTTCTAGTAAGGAAATTCTTTTTTTCATTCAAAAGAAAGCCAGGACCCCTCTCTGAGGAAAATAATTGAAAAATATAAAAGGTAGAGTGTGCCTATTAGAAAAAAAAAAACAAAATTTTATTCTTTATATCTAAGTTTGGGCCATAGTATGTGTGTGTGTGTGTTGGGGGGGGGGGGGGATAGTGTTACATATTGGAAAATTCTTAAAATATATCCTCCAGAAAACTAAGGCTTCTTTTAGTTAAAGTGATTTGCAAGCATCCTTATGTATTACAGATTCAAAATAATCTGAAAAAATAAAATTTACAAGTTTATAAACAAAATGACTTTTATGTTATCCATTACATGTAGTCTAACCTTTTTTTTTTCACTAAGAAACATGCATGTTCCATAACATACATATACATCCACAAATCATATGATAAGTGTGCCTTTTGGGAGAATCTTAATATAATTCTTTGCTTTGTCTAGGTTCTCTTCCTGTCATGATTTAGTGCTCTCTCGGTTCTGTGCCACAGACTACAGAGAACACGGAATTGCAGGAATCAAGATACACAGAATTCTACGAGTCCACAACAGAATGCTGCGCAAGCGTTTTGATGACAGACTTACAGGAATTGTTGATAGCATTGAAGGAGAATACTTTCCAAGCAACAGGTAAAAATCCATTAGGTTGTCATGTAAAAAATTGAGATCATTTGGTTCAGTTAAATGCATTCAAACTTTTTGTATAATTCAGGTGATTTTTGTGCCTCTTACTTTTTTGATTTGTATAGAATTTCTGCAGATGGGTTATGTGTTTTGATTCATGTTATAAACCTGTTGATATTTTCTGGGTTTCAGGAATACTGCTTACAAAAAACAGTTGGAGTACCTGTTTTGGATCTGGGACCCTAACCTTCCTGGAGGAGTGCATGAGTCAACAAGAGTGGTGGAAGAGGGATTCATGGATGCCATGTCATACAAGGTGAGGAAACTTTTAGCTGTAAGAGAAAAAAGACTTCAAGTTTACAAGTTTCAAGTTGTAAAAATCAATTAATTGCCATGTCAGTAAACCAGATCTAGTCTAATTAGTTATAAACATCATGCAATGCCATACATGCACAAACAGTCATTACACTTTACTTGAAAAGTAATGTAATTTATGTTTGTTAAAGTAAGTTTGTGACGCCTACAGGTATATTTTGACATAATATCCTTAATGTTTTTGTCACTAACTATTGTAAGTTTGTCCAAAGTTTATTTTTTTTATGTTAGAAGACAATATAGTAGTCAAATATTCAGAAAAAATGTTTTATAGTCATCAGATTTCAAAGACATTTTAATTAAGGTTGATAGTTCAAAAGTCTTTGGTTAGAGTATCATCACTTCAAAATAAAAAAAAAGCTAAGACTTGCAGGAATATATTTTTGATTCATTTTCCACCTTAATTTGTGTGTACAGGCTCTAGGAAAAGATGGGGCTGTACCTTTGAGTAACAGTCTGAGTCTAGCAGACAGACACAGAACAAGTTACCTGATGAAAGAAAGCAAGGAAAAGGAATACACAGACAACTGTCCATTCAGATATGGTAGGAATTTCATTACATCATTTTGCAAGTTTTACATTAAAGTATATTATACATGTAAATTCAGTATCATGAAAAGGTCAATGATATGTAAGAATTGTCAATGAAATCAACTTCTTTTCATTCATTGTAGGTCAACTAGTCATATCAAAAGTGTTTTTGGGTAAAAGTGTCAAGGCCATTGATGAAAGGTTGTAAGTATATTTAGCTCTTCTGAGCCAAAGGCTCAAAGAGCTAATGCTATGGCCATTTGTGTGGTGTGCGGTGTGCGTTAACTTTTTAGAATATGGGCCATAACTCAAGAACCCCTTGGCCAATTATTGTCAAATTTGTCACAGGGTATCCTTGGCCCAAGGGCTCCCTTTTATACTAAAACTGGGGTTGTGACCCTTTGACAAGGGGAGATAATTAGGAAAATAGAAATAAAAGTACTGGTTGCTAAAAAATCTTCTTCTCTAGAACCACTGGGCAGATTATCACCAAACTTACACAAAAGGATGAGAATATGTTGTAGATTAAAATTTGCACGGGATTTACCCTGGGGCAAAGGGCGTGGTCTCAAGGTCACTTCAAAGTTGACCAAAAATTACATTTTATTAAAATGTTGATATTTTGCTTACTATAAGGACTAGGATCATCAAATCTTGTCAGTTGGTGCATCTAAGGACCTCATATCATGTTGACTCAAAAGTAGGTCACGGTGACCTACTTTTTAAATTTTGCGGCCATTCTTTTTCAAAATGATTTAGAGGCATATTTTGAACAATTTAAGGCCTACTATCATCAAACTTTGTCAGTTGATGCATCTTTGGTCCTCAAAGTACGTCAACTAAAAAGTAGGTCAAATGACCTACTTTTTGAATTTTATGGCTAATCTTTTTTAAAACAATTAAGGTCATTAATTCAAATACAGGGAGGCTTAGAATCATTAAATCTTGTAAGATGATGCATCTTGGGGCCATAAAACATATTTATTAAAAAGTAGGTCACAGTGACCTACTTTTTCAACTTTGCAGGCATTCGATTTCAAAGCGTTTTAGAGGCATAATTTGGACATTTTAAGTCCTATGATCATAAAACTTTGTAAGTTGATGCATCTTGGGTCCTCAAAAAAGGTCAACTGAAAAGTAGGTCACTGTGACCTACTTTTCAATTTATATGACTATGATTAAATATTTCAGGTACTAATTGGCTTAGAATCATCAAACTTTGTCAGTTGATGCATCTTGGGTCTTCGGAGTAGGTCGACTAAAAAGTAGGTCACAGTGACCTACTTTTGAAAATTTATGGCGTTAATTAAATATTTCGGGTACTAATTGGCTTAGAATCATCAAACTTTGTCAGTTGATGCGTCATGGGTCTTCAGAGTAGGTCGACTAAAAAGTAGGTCACCGTGACCTACTTTCAGAAAATTTATGGCTTTAATAAAATATTTCGGGTACTAATTGGCTTAGAATCATAAAACTTTGTCAGTTTATGCCTCATGGGTCCTCGGAGTACAACAACTGAAAAGTAGGTCACGGTGACCTACTTTTGGAAATTTATGGCTTTAATCAAATATTTCGGGTACTAATTGGCTTAGAACCATTAAACTTTGTCAGTTGATGCGTCATGGGTCCTCGGAGTACAACAACTGAAAAGTAAGTCATGGTGACCTACTTTTGAAATTTTATGGCTGTATTTAATATTTTCAGGAATTTTTTGGCTTAGAATCATCAAAATTTGTCAGTTGATGCATCTTTGGTCCTCAGAGTAGGTTGACTGAAAAGTAGGTCACCTTCTGTACTCCGAGGACCAAAGATACATCGACTGACAAAGTTTGATGATTCTAGCCAATAAGTACCCAAAATATTTAATTACAGCCATAAATTTTCAAAAGTAAGTCACGCAACTGAAAAGTAGGTCACGGTGACCTACTTTTGAAAATTTATGGCTTTAATTAAATATTACAGGTACTAATTGGCTTAGAATCATCAAACTTTGTCAGTTGATGCATCTTGGGTCCTTGGAGTAAAACAATTGAAAAGTAGGTCACTTTGACCTACTTATAAAACTTTATGGTTATAATTTTAAAAAATATTTTAGGTATTAATTGGCTTAGAATCATCAAACTTAGTTGATGGGTCCTCAGAGAATGACAAGTGATAAGTAGGTCACCATGACCAACTCTTAGGTACTAATTGGCTTAGAATCATCTTGGGTTCTCAGAGTGTGAATTGGAATTTCAAGGGTTTATCTAAATATACAGGATACTTCGAGGCTTCAAATAGAAGTGATAGGTTGTACAGTTTATCAGAAGAGCGATTCAAGGCCCATGGGCCTCTTGTTTCACCTGCATAAGCATAGAAATGCTGATCTTTATATAATATGTATGTCTACCTTTTACTACAATTTAAATTTTTTAATTTTTTTTTTTTTAGAATAACTAGGTCAAACTATCCCAAAATAGATGCAGTCTTCAAACCTCGTAAAATGTGCATTCCACCAAGTAAGTTACCATGACATGTTTTATATGTCATTTGTTATTCATTCTTAGAGAAAAATATGATGTTTATGGTTCTGGTTATGGACTAGTTCTAACAGAGCATTGCATTTACAGCTGCCCTAGAAAAATTTCTCATGGCAGGTAAAATTTTACATTGTGACTGTCATCCAAGCACTTTCTAGGTCTTTGGGAATCTCACGCAAATTTCACAGCTTTTGATAGATTTAAATGAAAATAAATAGAAAAGGGTTAATATAATTTTAACTCTTGTGTACAAATAAGGGGATATGAACATGTACAAGGAATAAGTGTGTTGATTTGTCCTTCTGTCTATCCACCCCAGTGTTTAGGCTATATTCTTCCAACAGAGAAAAATGAGAAACTCATTCTTGGCATAGAGACTGAAGGGAACAATTACCATGGCATGTATGACCTATTAAATCAATATCCTGACCCTAACTAAGGTCATCTGGACAAGTCAAGTTCACTGTAGTTATGAAGTTAAATTTCATGAAAATTTAATACATGACTTCTACAAGTGTTTGAAACTTTTTTCCAAACTCTTCATTTTGTCCTGTGTGGTTGAAAGTCTCATTAAGACAGTTCCAATGTTTACTGTTGATTTGAACTAAATTGTTATATCATTTACATATACATATACCTAGTATGTGGAATCAAAGTACGTATGTTGAGTGAAGCTGATAGTACAAGTTCTTGATATGAGTTTGCTTCTTTGTGTGTTTCATTCACATTTTTATAAATAGATGCTGCACATTGAAAAGTTTTTAGCAGCTTTTGAATTTATATATTACACAGGAGAAATTTATTACAAATCTATTGTTTGGAACATTTTTAGAACAGAATAAAACTTGTGGAGATTTTCATTTGGTGGCTTGTTTTTTGCTTATGGTTTATCTGTGTTCACTATGTCTGTGGAAAAATATCATCCCCTCTCACACTTTTCACTTGATATATCATTTCCAAGCTAATACGTTCTTTAGTGGTAAAGGTACTTCTAATAACAGTATATTCCTAATAAAAACTTAATTTCGTAATGTTACTCTCATCTTTAGGTGGAGGGGACTCGATACACAACTGTGAGTGCAGTGCTCGGCAGTGTGAGTGGTACCTGTTTGACAATGAACTCATACTTCCAGAGTATATTGTGGAGTTTGAATATGTCACAAAGGTGAGTAGGATTAATGAATAAGGTAGTTAAATTAGATCAAATATGCAACTTAAATAAAAATAAGCTTCAATAAAGGTGTATTTGTTTTTAGCTTGAAAAAAATTTTCTTTCATTTTCAAGTTCCGGTCAAAGTCACCTTTTGCAACATTTAGTGACCTCAATCTTGACAATAAAGAATCCAAGATCCCTTTGGTGCCCCACACAGATGATGACCCTTCTGTAGATGATGATGTCTTAGGAATGGAACCACTTCTGAAACAGAGACCAAGGTAACTAGTATTTCCTTTCTTACAAAATCTCTCCAGGGATTTTCAAATTAAAAATTATCTGATTAAGTCAAAACACCACTATTTTAAGAAAGTAAACAGTAAAAACTAGAGGTACTGTGAGCACTGAGCTCACTAAATGATACCCCCCGCCTCCCATATGATTATAATGGCAAAGTCCATGTTTTGCTCTGAGAAACCCAAAATAAGTGTCAGATCAAAAAGTAAAATAGGAGGTGCACAGTAGCATTATGTAATAAAGAATCTGTGAAAGTATCATTAAATTTTATTCAGTGGTATAGGAGGAGTTGCGGATAAGAGATGGGTACCCTTCAATATTATAGAAAGAATGGCAGTGTCCATGTTTTGCTATGGGAAACCCGAAATATGTGTCCGATCAAAAAAGTAAATAGGAGGTGCACAATGGCACTATGTAACAAAGATTCTGTGAAAGTTTCATTAAAATTCATTCAGTGGTATAAGAGGAGTTGCGGATAAGAGATGGGTTCCCCAAAGCGTAATAGACCGACAGACGGACCTACAGACGGACGGACATCCCGATCACTATATACCCTCCCAATTTTCAGGCAGGGGGTATAAAAAAGCCAGGTTGATCTTTTTTTTTTGTTGGTGGGGTGGGGGGTCATTATTTGGTAGAGATAAATTACTTTGAAGATTTTATCTACTTTTAATAGTATTACCCTAAAGCTACATGTAAAAATGGACCAACTTATAATCAATTAAATCATGCAGCCCCCATCAAAAATTAACAACCACTGCCAAACAACAAACATTAAATGTACTGGAATAGCCCTCATACTTACAATTCAAACAGTTTAACTGTATTGAAGTTTGTTTACCATGCAGGTATCAAAATAACAATAATAGACAAAAATGGCAAACATACTCTTCAATTTTTCAGGAACTCTGTAGGATATTGATCTATTATGACATATTTTTTCAGATTGACTATGTTAAATGAGGATATACTGATGAAGCATGTGGAAGTTGATTCTCTGGAAGCCATAACTGTGTTAAACCTCCACAACAATGGAATCAGTAAACTTAGGCCCATCCACTCTTTGTATCATCTTAAACGACTTACTGTTAGCTTTAATGAACTCAGCAAGCTGGATGAAGTAGCTAGTATGGTAAGTCACATAGAAAACAATAAATTCTTTTTTATTTTTAATTGCATGGTTCTACTCGTGCAAATTTGATTGAGCAATGCAGATTAAGATTTACATGTACTTGAAATGTTATATCATTACAGGGATTGGAATATCTTGATGCCAGTTTTAATCAAATTTCCACCTTAGAAGGACTTAAAGTAAGTTACTGCTAAAACTGTATTCAAAAATGAATCAGATGGAGTATTTTTTAGTGTTTGAATGTGACAACATGTGCAGTTTTTAACATTCCTGAAAACAAAAATTTCTTTCCCCATAAAGATTTTAAGTATGTTTTTAACAAAATTGATAGGAAATGATTTTTGTTCAGTTTCCTTACAATTGTACCATCATTTTGTACTCAGAACATGATGAAACTGAAGTTCTTTGACCTAAGTTGGAACAAGCTGACAAACACGAGAGAGGACTTATCCATCCTAAGGAAGCATGCTTGCAATTTGTTGACCCTTGACCTCCGACACAATCAATGGCTGAAGGTACTGTAACAGTTTTAATTCTTTTAAAATACTTCCTACTCTTGATAAGGATATCTTCTCAGGTACAATTAGCTTCCTATAAATATTTTAACTAATTTAATCCTTTAAATTTTCAGCCTCAGCATTTAAGGCTGCGTGTGATTGGACGATTGAAGTCACTGACCCTCCTTGATGGGTCAGCAGTGACGGAGCATGAAGCTACAGCAGCATTACGTGTGGCGGCTGGATCTCGAATCTGTCAGTTGTCACTACTTACACATGCTCGAGTGGACTCCCACAGACCGCGCTCACTCAGTCTTATGCCTACTGCTGAAATCTTAGAGAAGCAGAGTCACCACAGGCCAGAGAAAATCAGTGAAACAGATACACTTTGGTACCAGAAGGTAGAAATTCAGAATAACTTGCTAATTACTGTAATTAGTGTCTCCTCATAAAGTCATATAAAGTGTGCATACATATAGGGATTGATATCTGATTTTTATTTAAGGTGTGAATTCTAAGATGGGCTAAAAATTTATCTCAAAATGCAATCAATTCCATGTATTTTGTAAATTTAGGTGACCTCTCTGTATTTGGATAATCAGCATATCACAAAACTATCTGGTTTAGAGAGATTGGAAAACCTTAAATATGCCTCTTTTAACAACAATGACATCACAAAAATAGAGGTATGTTAAAGTTTTATCCTCATGATAGGAAACAAAATAACAAGGGTATCCTCAAGTTGGTTTAAGATTAAATACTTTAAATCATTAGATTGTTTCACAGTTTATAATTTTATTTCATTTATTTAGGGTTTGGATCATTGTGTAAGATTACAAGAACTTTCCCTGGAAAACAACTGTATCAGTAAACTAGAGGGTATCTCTAAACTGATCCAGTTGAGGAGGCTGTGTGTGGGTAGTAACTTCCTCACCACCCTGGAGAACTCTGGCATCCATTATCTTGGACACCTGACTTACCTGTCATTGGAGGAAAACAAACTTACCTCTCTGTTAGGGCTACAGAAAATGTCCACTCTTGTTGAGTTGTATGTAGGGAACAATATCATTGCCAGTGTCAGGGAAATCTTCTACCTCAAGGTAGGATTGACATTTCATACAGGTTTTGTGAATTGAATGAGTATGTAATGTATGTATGTATCATTTTTGAGAGACAATGCAAATATTCAGTTAAACATTTTAGGCCATTAAAAATAATGAAAAACACGAATTTTCAGTAACTGCATTTTAGATAAATGTCAAGATGCTATAGAGTAAAATAATCTGAGTTGCAAGAGAAATCAATACACTCATACACATCAGACCCCCAAAAACATTGATAATGATTGATGAAATGTAATTTTGCACTTCATTTCTACCTCATAGATGCTGTCAAATTTAGTCATACTTGACTTGTTTGGGAATCCTCTTGCCACAGAAACAGACAACTATAGACTCTTCATCATTTATCATCTTAAAAATCTCAAAGCATTGGATGGATCTGCAATAGTGAGTTCTTATGTTTCATTAATTGTAAAGGTGTCATCTCCTTTGTCATAAAGACACTTTCATTTTTTTTTCAAATTTATTTACACAATGTAGATAAATGATGTATATGTACATGTGTGCAAATAACAACTAAGATAGATCTGTGAAGTAATTTTATTAAATATTTTCAATGTTAACATAGTAATAATTAATACTTATGTTTATATATGTGTTTCAAAAGATCCAGTGGAACAATTTGTACAGTGCTATAAAACTTCCATTTTTCCCCACTATATAGGAAGCTATGGAGGGAAATCTTGCCAAGGATACTTTTGGTGGTAGACTTACACAAGACTTTGTAGCAGAAAGGCTGGGTCATTCCAACTTCCATGATGTACGGGAGTTAGACCTACCAAACTGTAGTATTCGCATTGTAGATCTGGGAATAGGGGATACATTTCTCAACCTTAGAAGGTAGGAAAGATTTTGTTGCTTTGACATAAGCATTTTGGCAGTGCTTGAAAAAAAAATTCTTCCACTGTTTGAGTAAATCTAGATATAAATTTAATTAACTGTAGTTTTTCTCCTAACTTGCTAATATAGAAAATTAAGATCACCTACAATGCTATAAATCTCTCCCTTTAATGATTTTATTGTTATATTTTTAGTGTGAACTTAGAACACAATAATTTGACTTCCTTCAGTGGTTTGATTCATTTGCCAAATATAAGGGTAAGTGTTGGCTGTTAAATTATAAATACCAAAAATATTAAGACTGAAAAATAAACTACCAAATTCAATTTCCTAAGGTTGCTGAGGTGTTGACAAAGGTACATAATGTCAGAGATTGAAATAATAAAATGAACAAACCAAAATTTAAATTCTTAACTGAAAAGAACCTATGTGAATTTAGAATCAATGGGAGAGAATTTCTGGCTTTGACACAAAATAATTTGCAGTGTATTTATGAGGGTTTTCAATTTACAGGTGCTGTGTTTGAATCATAATCATATTGAATGCATTATGCCGAAACAGAAACCGGTTAACAGAATGTCCAAGCAGGGATCAAATAAAAGCTTGGAATTTTTCTCCAATGACTCATCCACTCCTATTATGGAGAGTTTAGAGGTGCTACATTTAGGTTATAATGGAATCAAAGATATGTCCATTTTACAGTTGAGCAGACTAACTTCACTCAAAGCTTTGTTTCTACAAGGTAAAATGCTGGTACTATCAATATTATCAAAATGCTAAATGGTTGATAGTTATTACAAGAAAATTAGAACAAGTTAAGATTTTATCTCTTAGAGTGATAGATTTATGATTCCTATGCTATGATTTGGATAGGTGCATTTCAAGGGAAGTAACTCTATTTTAAAACTAGAAATCTTTAAAGGAAAATTTCTCTGTATTTTTTGTTCAGTATCAGTTTAGCTCTCATGTTGAAAGCATATGCATGTAGGAATCTCTGAGAAATTGTCTTGAAACATCACCAATCCTTAGTGGTTTATTTTTGCTGGAACAGGAAACGAGATCTCTAAAGTGGAAGGAATGGAGGGACTTCATGATCTCAGGGAGCTGGTTCTGGATCGAAACAAAATCAAAATCATCTCGGAATTGTCATTCGCCAATCAGTGGAATCTACAAGAACTCCATATTGAGGAGAACAGAGTGAGAGAGTTATCTTACTTGAACTGCATGGACAATCTACAGAGACTTTACATGGGCTCCAACCGCATCCAGGTAAATGACTCTAAATTAACCTAGTGTAAAAAACATTTTGTCTGTATCTAACATAAACTTTTTAATTTAATATTTAGTGCTGATTTAAAGAAAAATGAGATTTGTTCAGATTTTAGTGACATGTTTTTTGTGTGTGTGTGTTTGTTAATATTATTCATGATTTGTAGGAAATTTCTGAACTAGAGAAGTTGGAGGGGCTAAATAATTTGATTGAGATCTCTCTAGTCAACAACCCTGTAAGTATAGATGAACATGTCTCAGACACAGATTTTGTAATAAAATCAAACCTAGGATATTATTTAGTCATAAAAAGAATAAAAGAATGTTTCTCTCACATATCACACAACACAAAAGGCCCAATTCTGAAAAAAAAATTGCATGAGAACTGTTGAGAAATGGTGATCTTGAATGGGATAATTTAGCTCACCTCCTTCACTGTAGGCTGCCAGACGTCACCTTCATCGTCCTATCCTGGTGTTCAAACTGAAACAGATCATGATTATTGATGGGATCCCAGTCAGTGAGGAGGAGAGAGGGAAGGCTGAGCTCTACTTCATGGACCAGCAGGTATGTGTAAGAGTTTCTATATCAAAATGCTGCTCATTTTCGTGGATCAGCAGGTATATATGTACATGTATAAGGGATTTTATGGATGTTACATGTATATGTACATGCATTTATATCAAGAAATCAGCCAATATGTGCAAAGGATAAAGTCTTACATTGGTTTTGTTTTATAGGTAGCCACAACTCAGCCTTCAGCCAGTGAAGGATCACTTCCTGGTATCAACCAGATTAAGACACAGGTCCCAGTCAAAGTGACGACAATGCATCTGGGTTCCTCCCCATTGTGGAATGGAGGTGTTCTGTATGATGATAGTGCTCAGGATGCCATCCAGCGAGGCTAGTATTTCATTCTTGGTGAATTATGGTTGTACATGTAGCACAGAGATGGCTTAAGATAGTTTATATCATTTGTTATATCTATTATCTGTGAACTCCAAGTTTAAAGGGTGGAGTAACTTTTCAGTTATCTTTTAGAGGATCCTTTTAGATTATAACAGGTCACTTTGTTAATACAGCTAAACTTCGAAATCTCGAACACGGATATCTCGAATACCCCGGATATGTCGAAGTAAGGCTGCGGTCCCGACGAAATTTGCTTTATAAATGATTAAAATAAACCCCTCTATGTCGAACACGGTAATGTCGAATACCCCGGTTATCTCGAAGTAAAATTGTGTACCCATTCATTAAAATCGCATGCGTTATCTCGAAGTCAGGATAATTTTCCGCACTGATGATCAAGTCCGTTAGGTAAACTGGACGCTCTATTGATAACACCCACCTGTCTGTCAGGCACGGGTAATCTGTGTTCCTGTGATCAACAAATACTAGCGCAATAATTATACGAAGTGTATGTATGGCTTACCTTGATTTTAATTATGCAAGCCAAGGTTGTGTGTATTGGTCTAATGCATACGCATGGACGACATGTTGTTTTTTTTGGCTTGGGTACGTTTATCTTGATAATCGCTATTTAATGCCATGTGAAATATGCGCGCATACATACATATGAAATTGAAAATCAAAAACAACGAAGTAAAACACAATTCTGTAATTTAATACAATTAGAATTTATTTTTCCTATATGAGCATGCAGAATTTACAATCGTCCGTACACACCATCATGTGAGCGTGTGTCGCAGTAAAAACTTGTGCTGTAGTGTCCTGTGATTCAATGTTGTTCTGTTGTTAGACAAAAGTGCGTGATTTTTCTTTTCGTTTTCGTTATTCTGACAGCGACCGGTTTTAAATTTACAATGCATAGGCGATATCCGGTTATGTATACATGGGAAACGATGCTAGCGGTTGACATACCGCGTTGGTAGAAAGATTATACTTCTGTGCATATTATACAAAGTTTTTTTTTATTTTGTGAATTATAAAGAGGATGTAAAAATCTTTTTTTTTTGCTAAATACATGTACATGTTTATTAAAGAAATCGTATACAGAATTTCAAACAAGAAGGAATTTGACATGTTTTTACTATTAAGTACATGTTCACTGCACTAAGTTTATTTGAAGTTCATTTGAATTATAACCCTCGATATGTCGAACCCCCGGATATCTCGAAGTTCATCAACGGTCCCGTAAATTTCGAGATAACGAAGTTTAACTGTAGCTGACCATAAGAGCCTTGTCAAAGACATCTTTTTGTAGCATATAAAATGGTATTTGATGCAGAAGAATTAAGAAAAAAAAAATTTTAACACATGCTACCTCTAAATTTTAGAAAATGTTCTGATGTACTGATCAATCAAAAGTTTACCTGGCCATGTGCCTGATCAAATAATTGTGCATGGACAATAGAAGTTTTCACATCTTGGTGATGAAAAACTGTTTTTCACAGAAGAAAGAGCTAAATCCACAAAGGGGCCAAATCGGACTATTTTTTCAGGAAAATTAAACTGAGGGGAAGAAGAAAATTAACAATAGAAATATTATCCTTGGGTATCGAACTTAAATAGTTTATGCCAAATTTTTTTTTTTTGATGACGTCATATTTGTACAGAAAACGTCTAAACACGTGCACTTTGCTACTTTTTATCAAAATATAGCATTTTTTTTATCTTTGGTTCAATTTTTTTGCTGTGGCCACACCCTTCGAACAAAATAAAATTCATACCATTGAAAAAAGAATTAAAATATGAATAAATAAAGCATATTTTTATTTTGTTCGAGGGGTGTGGCCACATCAAAATTAATACTTTTCGTTCGATTCAAATCTCTTAGCACCGACTCACACAGTGGAAATAACGGGGATTACCCTACATTAATAGAAAAGAAAAAGAATCTATATTGCTTTTTGTACGTGTTAAAAAGTTTCAAAATGCAAATGTTCTATTTATTATAAGTTATTTTGTGTAATGGTGCAAAAAAGTACGAAAAACTCTCGCTAAGCATGACTGCATGCAGATGCAATAATCTGTCGATTTTTTGTGTACTACGTGCCTCAGTCCTGAACCAAGACTTTTCCTTTAAGTAGCTGATCTATATTTAACTCATCATTATGCTGAAATGTTTGAAAAAAATAAAATAATGTGTATACTCTTTTCCCCTGACAGCCTATTTATTTATGTTTTGTTTTTCTACTCCCGGTTCCTTGTCACCATGGTCACTATGTAATCAAAGGGAGATCACCCGAGAAACCTGTAGGCTACATCTTTATTTTCTCCTGAGTGGCTGTGTCGGAATAGCCTGGAAGATTAAACAGATTACGTCGGATGCAACTACCAAGACGTATTTATAATTGTTGTTTCTACCTTACTAAACATTAATTGTGTATACCGTGAAGTCTGCATCGACAGCAAACAAATGGTTAATTAATATTAGGCAATTATGAATAACTAGTTTAATTATAACCCATACACAACATGCGTTTCAGAAATAGCCACTGGCATTTTAAGACAAAAGATTAAATAATATTTATTAGTGAAAACCTTTTCTGATCCGAGACCTCTTAACATAAATTATATTACGTTGAACCTAGAAAATTCGAGTTGACAAATAAACAATAGATTGATATCACAGATCGCGTGTAATTTTTGTGATAGGCCTCTAGAAGACAAATGCCCTACAATAAAGGAATAACTTACTACCAAGACAGTGACATTTCTTTATGGTTTTAAATAATTCCAGTATCGTCTGCATGGTGTGACCTAAAAAAAGAGTCAAAGGGAGGCTACTTGCTATCTCTCTCTATTTTGAGTTACTCCGCTTAAATTATAACAAGGGAGAGAGGGCAACCAAGATTAGCAAGCATGTTTATACTATAGTAGTGTAAATTCATAAATGGGGGATTAGATCTTTGACATAAAATAAGAAGCCAAAAAAAAACAAAAAACAAACAAACAAACAAACAAAACAAAACAAAACAAAACAAAACAAACTATTACATTTACAAAAAAGACAGGAGTTGGGGGGACGGGGGTGTCGGGATTCCAGGCCTCACTCATTAAATTCGTGGGACAGTTCGATCAACCAATTACTACTGTCATTTAAACAAGAAAGTAGTAAAGTGAATAAATAACAATGCCAATAATATTAGTCCTTATATATATATATAGTATAAAAAAAATAAATTCAATCGCAGTTTTAATTCTTCTTTAATCTCTATGATAAAAATTTAATTCAAAAACGATTGATTTTTCTTGACTCGGTCATTGCATAAATTCATTATACATGTATATCCCAGGTCTGTAGGTAGCAATTTCAGTTGGGGTGGCACAACCATCATACATTTCAGTTGGGGGCACTATCAACTACCAAAAATTCCTTGACATGCAAAAAAAAAAAAAAGAAAAAAAAAAATGTTGCTTCGTTTTATAAAGTATTCTATATATTGGCAAAATTATGGGTGGGGGGGTTACAAGGCCCCCCCCCCCCCCCCCCGGGTTCCTACGGCCATGTATCTTGAATGTATTATCATCATTAACAGATATATCTGCTAATTTTGCCTGTCTATCATATTTGTTTTCTTGAAAGGATGTCTATATAGAATATAACTTCATAGATCGGGCGTATGAACATGTTTATTTTCTTGGGGGGGGGGGGGGGGGGGGGGGGTATGGTAATATGTCGCTCGACATATGGTCTATAATTTTTTTTTCGACGGTCTGTAATGATAGCCATTTACTACTGTCAGTAATGATAGCCATTTACTACTGCCAGTAGCTGTTTTCTGTATATTTTTATTTATTTACCAAGAGTAACGATCCGAAAACGTCCAAGTTAAAAATCTCATATGCAATATGTATACGATATTATGATTATTTTATCGTCTTCTGTACTCATTATCGCCTATCTATTTGTAGTTGTGTTAGAAATTGCACATGGAGAAACGAAACATTATTTTAAATATGTGAAAATTATGAGCAAAATGTTAAAACTGTCTTTGAACTCTATGAAAGTCTTAGTTGTTATGTTTCAATGTAATTTTCAATTCTCACCAAATAATAGGTACTCCCCAACATGGGAATGTGTAAGATATGAAATCGAAACATTTTTATTGTTGCGGATGTTAATTATAGGGCCAAAATTCATAAATAGATACCACAGTCTATTTAAAAAAAAAATGCTACAAAAGCTGTAACTGTAGTTGACGAAAGGATATTTTTTTTCTACACGTCGCATTTATTGCGTTGTCCGTCATCGTGATATGCAGCATAATCCGCAAAAATTATGGGCATGGTCAGAGGTATAACTACATGGAAAGGTTATCCTTTTTGTCATCTGAATCTCTTTTCATATATATCTTTTGGGTATGTAAAAAAAAATTTCCCTTTGATGATGTAACATTTTATCATAACTAGTAAATTTTATTTCGATTAAGTAATTTATATTGAGTAAAGTGGTATACAGGTATGTGCCATTTCCGTTTCTCTTGTTTTTTTTTTAACTTCATGTTCCGTTTTGAAATTCAAATACTTCTGGAAATCTTGTGGTTTTGTTGGACTCTTTCATGTAGAAAAAAATGCTTAATTTTTTTGCGGCCGATTTGATGTTTTGCATCACTCTTGTTTAAAAGTCTATAGTGGTTTCTCTCCTGACAATCTGTGGTGCTCAGGATTGTCGTCAAACGTCACTATTTTACGTGTATTACATGTATGAACTACAATTTCATTTCAAATGTCCGGAGAAAGGCCATATATTACGGAAGTGCATCGAAATCCTCAAAATGACAATATAATAGATGGTAACTTCAAACGTATTCATTTTTAATGCAACTTTTTATTTTAATTTTATGTTTTCGTTATTAAAGAGTACTTGTGTATTCTCTGATAAAACGTCTATTTTTGCTTGTTTGTACGCTGTATGACCAAACAATAACACATGCATTTAAGAATGATAAAATCCTTATCCATGGCTACTATAGAATATATATTACTACATTAATTCAGTTTTACTCAAATATGATGGATTAACACTTTGTTTTATTTTTCAGCTTAACGTGTCTCTTATTTTCATTTAATTAAAACGTGTTACATGTATCTACGATTATACCAGACTACCGTTGTATATAGCAAATATATGGCATTTTTTTTAGCATACAAACAGCTTTAATTAAAAAATAAACCAAAAGTTTTCAAAACTTCTTGAAAAATTCATAGTAAAATTTTCCTAAAATTTTAAAGAAAAGCCTATAGTGGTTATTTTTATTCCATTTACGTACATACATTATTTTCTTATACAAAATGTCAACTTCACGACGTTGTCAACGTCACGACGTTGTCAACGTCACGACGTTAAAGTATGTAACGTCATGACGTTATGACGTGATAGTATAAATAAGGAAAACAATACTAAATTTAAACGAATGTAAAAAGAAAACCAGAAAAGATATTGTTGAAAAATAAATGGTTTTACAACATACAAATCTTACAGTATTATGTGAGAAAGTTTCATTTATTTTGATGACTGGGCCGATTTTGGCACTTCGTGGATTTAGCTCTTTAATAGAGACATGTTTTTCTGTAAAAGTATTGTTATAAATGTACCTTCTTTAAAATTGATTCACCTGGGTATGTATTTTGAGGAAAAAAAATATCTTTGCAGTTTATAAAAATATATATACTGTTAAATTAATTCATGAATGCATATATTTTAATCACATAAAATTTGAAAGATTGTAAACCAAGTTTTAGAAATGTCCACAAATTTTGTGAAATACTTCTGTTCACAAATATTTTTTGCTGTGAACTATTTATTTAATTATGTTTTATTGTAGAATGTTTTCTCAGTCACAAAAATGAATATTTGCAACTTACTGATGGATTTCAAACTGATTGAATTAAGTCCCAATAAAAGTTGTCACAACTAATAGTTGGTTAATGGTATCTTTTTCAATCTCTTTTCAGGTGGTGGTCGTAGAAGAGGAACAGGGAAAGAACCCACCCCTCCCCCTAATCAAGGCATGATGAATCGTGCCAACACTATGGTATACAATCCTTCAAACACTGGTTATGGGGGCTTCTCCTACACCAACAATTCGGTAAACTCGGGAGCACGGCCACAGTTTTATCTCAATCAAATTCCCTATGTTCAGCCTCCTTCACAGACAGAGTATGTTGAATGGTTTTCAAGGTACATGTTGCTGATGAAAAGGGGGCATGTCAAAACTACATAATACTTATTAACTAATCTAGTTTGCAGTTATTTGGCAATTTTAACAGATTCTGTTAAAAATTACTTATCTGAATTTCTTATTACCGATGAGAAAGTATTGAGGATGTTTTAATTCAAGAATACATCAATCCTGATTGATTTCTTATCGATAATAGTTATCATCTGAGTTATTGTTGTATTCTTTAAAAGAAACTTTTGTCATGATTCTAGTTATTGGATCATCTTTAGTAGTTTCACTAACTGCTTTCAGATCTATTTACTCCTCATTAGATAGCTCATTTACAGTAATTAGCACATCATTGCTTGTCACTTTTTTTTCAGTAGTCCCTGGACTCTTGTAAATCCTTGTGCCTTTGGAAGAAATTGTGACATCAGATAGAGGATGTCATGCACAAGTGATTTTTTGCAGCTGAGTAAATTAAATTCTTGGAGCAAGTTATTCCTTAAGTAACAACTTGAACCAAGCCTTAAAGTACATCGAAGATTCAAAATCTTATTTTATGAAATCAATCTGGACAGCTTTATTTTGAAGATCAGAGATTGGAATAATTTAGAATTTCATTTATTTATTATACATATCATCATCATGCAGTGCATAATCATTGGGGGGGGGGGGGTTCAAGGTGTCCAATACAGTAAAATGAAGAATATTCCAAAGAAAACAAGTCATAAGATTGAATGAAAATAACTAAAATATTCTATATAATTCAGATTTTCAAAGTTTTCAACATCATGCTAGCTTTTAAAGACTTGCATTGTGTCACTCAATTGATATTTAAGGCGCATTGGCCTGAAAATCATCTAAGTTGCATTTAACTTTAACCATGTAAATTGTGCATCAGTGACTAACATGTATTGGTCTTCTTGTGGATGCCATTTTGCATGACATACAATTTTCTATTCCAAGAAGAGAGCAATGGAACCTCCATCATATGTGTCGTCAGGTATGACGCTCATGTATGGATGTGTGCGACTGTCAAAACTTGTTACTTTATAATAATCAAGAAACTGAGAAAGAAAATGCAGGTTTATTTGTTTTGTTTTTATGGCCACCATTTTGCATACTGTATTATGACCAGGTACTGTAGTTTGAAATTTATATTATTAATATTTGTTTCATGTATTTGATACACTTTCAGAACACAGAATTTTACATCAAAGTAGTTAAATGCATTGAAATTTTAGATATAAAGTTTACAGTGTTCAGGATTTCTTTGACATGGCCTCTAGCTGCCATGATTCATGACTGCCAGGAAATAGAGGATCATTATATACAAAATGAAAACAGATACCCTTTTATTGTCTTTTTCAGAATTGCAATCGTATCACTCTTTTTCTTCCTAATATTAACATAGTTGCTGGAAATAACTGAAATTTATTGAAAATTGAGTTTTAAAATGGCAGTTTCATGAATCACATATAATTAGCCTGTTGGTATGCATTTCTCAATTTATATCTCGATTTTGTGAATTTCTATCTGCTTTTGAATAGTGAAAGCTCTGTGGCTTATGGGTTTTGTAACTGAAGTGTTTCTTAAAATATTACATGTAGTTCTATGCAGGCATGTAGGGGGGGGGGGGGGGGGGGGCTGACCTCCCCCACTTCAATTTTTACCAAACTTAACATTTTACTGTTGAAAATGTTCATTGAAAGGCTGTTGTTGTAGTAATTTTTTTTTTTTGGCGTGTGCAAGATTTTGCAGGTTAATTGTCAATTGTTGTCTTTTTTTCTGCCTAGCCCCCCCCCCCTCCCTTCCCCCACTTTCACAAAGATATACTACATGCCTGCTATGTTCTAGAGGTTTATTTTGGGCTTAATAATATTTTATTTGTGATTTGTGTTTTATCTTTTATAAAATATAGGTAAGTTGAGAGTGGATTGAGTGCATGTTTTAAAGAAAGTATATATATTTTTAGCTTTTTATGGTGTGAATAAAGTATGTTTTTGAATAATACACTGTAGATAGTTATGCAATCCAAAATATTCAAAGAAAATATGCACATTTAGTATGCATCATTTGATGCATTGAGACAGTATCTTAAAATCATACAATTTTTTGTGTAATATGGATAGTTCTGTAGATATTTTCGTATTGCTGATGGAAAAGTATTTAAATAACTTTTTAGTATATTTGCAAGGTTCTGTCTCTCCTAAAAGATAAAGGTTTTTTTATGCCCTAAATAGGAGTAGCAACACAGTAAATCAATGCACTTATATGCTTGTAGCCAGTATTCAACACATCTTGTATTGCATATATGCCTGATTAGGTATAAAATTTTTAGTGTTCCAGTATACATACTTGAAGACCAGTGCTTGCAAATCATAATCTTTTTTCCCACTGTCTGACATTGATGATAGAGGTGTGAGAAGCGATTGTCTCCGTAATCATTCCCTCACAGTAAATTGATGGACATTTACACATGGGACTTGTAATTGTCCAATGATGCTGAAAATTGCAACTTATGATATGGATTGCAACTTATGATATGGATTGCAAACTGAGTTTATTTTCCTTGATGATATGACTGTCTTGGCTTTCTTCTGTAAAATCAAAGAACATTTTTATGCCCCCGTATCAAAGATTCGGGGGTATATTAGTTTTTGCCCTGCCTGTCTGTCTGTTTGTCCGCAAAAACTTTAACATTGCCCATGACTTTTGATTGGTTGGAGCTATGGCTCTCATATTTCACATGTGTATTCCTTGTGACAAGACCTTTCTTTGCGTACCACCATATTTGACCTTTTGGCCTTGACCTTGGAGTTTGACCCAGTTTTGCAAAATTTTATCCAACTTTAACCTTGGCCATAACTTTTGAACAATTGGTGCTAAAGGGTTTTTATCACGTCTCAAAACTTTTTGGTATGACAAAGTTTACATGTTATTTAAAACAAATATCTAAAATTCTTTGTTAGGAGATTAATATTTTTGATGTTTCAGCGATTCAAAGTTTGAATTTCTCAATATGCATATTTTGATCGCCAATGTTACGCGCCATTGCTCTGATGTCATAGGTGTCAATCCTGGTTAAGCGAAGTACTTATTGTGTTTACAAAAGGGTTCATTTGCTGCGTCTGTTAAATCTGTTAGATAATAATTAAGTGATAACTGGATAATTGACAGCTAGTTAGGCATAATTTGTGGTTTTAGGATGCCCAAATGTGCACAACAAATGTTTTAGGAAGATTTTTTTCCACATTTCCTGGACTTGTTCAAAGATGAAAGGGGGGCCCTTTTCCTCAAACGCGACGGTGTTTATCTCCATTCAGAACAATCGTTTATGCTCAATCACGAATTTTTTTGTACTATAAAATATTTTAAGGAAAAGATGCCTTTCTTTAAAAAGATAATAAATTTAAAACACGCATTTTTAAAAGTCGCACCGAATAAAGTAGGAATGTTGTAAACTTTGTAATGGCGCACGGCGCCATTGATGAAGCGTCACTTCTAGTAAATGATATTCACTGCTGGAACAGATAGAAGATATTTAGGATTTATTTATATATAAATAATTGAAATAATGAAGGAGAATTTAGAATTCCTATTTTTATAAGTAATTTACGAAGTTAAACTTTAGTAATTCGTTCTATTTAGCAGAAGTCCCGAGTTATCAACGGCTTCATCTTCGGTGACCTCTCCAATTGTTGGCATACTTTCTGGTTTTTCTCTCTGCTAGGCATTCATACATAAAATATTTACCGTCCATAACCAAAGGAATGCAGCTGATGTCAGAATTTCATCCGGCCATATTGTGTAGTCTATTTATTAAACGTAAAAATCTTTTCAATATATTTTTTCTTACGATAAGCTTTACGAGGTATAATTGACCATTGACACCTATGACGTTTCAGTACCACGTGACCCCTATCTAATTAGTGGAGATTTTTACTACGAGGACCTTATATTACGGGCGCTTTATCCTTTAATTATGACCGTTTTCAAAATCATTTCATAATTAAACGATAATTATATGTTCCAAGAATATAATATTGTTTCATTTTAAAGAAATTTAGATACATGATAAAAACCCTTAAGGCTTTCATACTTCATATGTGTAGTCCTTGTGACAAGACCTTCCTTTGGATACGAACAACTTTGACCCTTTGACCTTGACCTAGGAGTTTGACCTACTTTTGAAAACTTTAACATTGGCCATAACTTTTGAACGTTTGGTGCTTCAGCTTTCATACTTCACATATGTAATTCTTGTGACAAGACCTTCCTTTGGATACCAACAACTTTGGCCTTTTGACCTTGACCTTGGAGTTTGACATACTTTTGAAAAACGATAACCTTGGCCATAACTTTTGAAGCATTGGTGCTAAGCCTTTCATGCTTCACATATGTAATCCTTATGACAAGACCTTCCTTTGGATACCAACAACTTTGACCCTTTGACCTTGACCTTGGAGTTTGACCTACTTTTGAAAAACGATAACCTTGGCCATAACTTTTGAAGCATTGGTGCTAAGCCTTTCATGCTTCACATATGTAATCCTTGTGACAAGACCTTCCTTTGGATACCAACAACTTTCACGCTTTGACCTTGACCTTGGAGTTTGACCTACTTTTGAAAAACTGTAACCTTGGTCATAACTTTTGAACAATTGGTGCTTCAGTTTTCATATTTCACCTGTATATTTCTTGTGAGAAGGCCTTTCCTAGCACCATTAATTTTGACCATTTGACCTTGATCTTGATGTTTGACTTACTTTTGAAAAACTTAACCTTTTCCACATCTATTCAATGGTTGCTGCCTGGGCTTCCATATTTCACAGGTATATTCCTCGAGATAAGACCTTACTTTGGGTACCAACATATTTGATTTGCATAAATTGAGAAAGTTTAACCTTTGCTATAAGTTGCCATACGGGGGCATCAGTGTTTCACAAACACATCTTGTTATATATTAACCTTATTTAAATCAACATTCTAAACGCTTGATATATATGTTCATAAAGGAAGTACTTTGTGTTCTGTTTGAATTGTTCAAACCCTTCAGGAATACCTTAGTTACCATCTTTTGATAAATACTGGTACAAGCATAGAGTGTTGAATTTGATAATATTGTACTATATATTTTTGCTTTTGGTTTTTTATAGTTTATAAACACACAAAATAATCACACAACTTTTATCTGTAAGTACTTGTACCTTGTGATGTAGTTGTTGTTGAAATGAGAATCTAATCCTTTATATTTTCATTATTTTTCTCCTTTTTAGGATAAACCAAGCCAAAAATAACAGGAGGTGAACTTTTCTTCAACAGTTTGTAATACTGAATAGTGGTGCACATAGATGTACCTACTTTGTGACCTGATACAGTGACAGATCAGAAAATTTGGACATGTATGAGTGCTAAGCTCATCTCAAGGTGATGACATTCATTAGGGTTGGTGTGGAAATAATTAGTGTATACTACAGATGCTGTGATATCCTGGACAAAAATACTGTTAAAACTTGATTAATCTATATTCTAGGTGCCAAGACTAATTATAAGTCTCTGCTATAGTGTCTCCATCTCTAGAATGGTGATTTAATTACATTTCTTTGTATATATCTAATTAATACATAATAAGCAGCACAACAATTTTAAATTTCTTCTATAGACTTCAACTCATTTCTGCTGTATTTTATCTTTAAAGTTTATGCGCAATTTAGGCAAACCCTTTTCCTCAGCAATTATGACCAGGTAAATTACATCTTTCTTAATTGTATATATAGATCTAATACACTGTGGTAAGCTTATAATGTTTATGAAATGAATTCTCTTAATTTTGAGGTAGTGTACATTTTGTGGCCTTATAGCTTTGATTCCTTATATTTAAGGGATATTATTTTGTTCATAATTTAATCAAACATTGCCAAAAATCTCCGTCCTATTCAAGACTTGTTTCAAGTTATGTCCATGAATAATTTCATGATTTTCAAATAGAGGGATCAGTATATTTCGTGTTTCTTTAATATTTATATGACACGAACTGCAGTGTCAGTTTGTTTAAAAAAAAAAGCAGTATTGAGAGAGAGAGAGAGAGATCTGTAAAGAGATACATGACTTAGTATGAAGAACTGACTGTTATATGTATGTGGATGTTGTTAATTATTATGTGAAGTTTTTTTGTTGTTGATATGTAAATGAATTTTAAATAGAGTCCATATCAAATTATCTTTTCAATGCAATATTGCATTCCAGTTACATTATATTTTCAGCAGAATGTGTATACTATTATATATATGTCTTCATTATTGAGTTTTATTTTTGTGATATTTGGTTTGCTCAATATGTATTTGATGTATCTATTCCATAGTCATGAATGATATTAAAATGAATAATTCATTAAGCAACTTTTAATAGTAATTCGGAATGTTTGGTGAGCTTGAGCTCTTGTTTCCCCTCCTTTGGATAGTATTACTACTCTATCAGATTCTACCCGTGCCCAAAAAGATTATGACATGGAAAGTTACTCCTCACAAAAATATTATCTACTCACATCAGACGTACTATGCAACAACATACTAGTATTCAAGAAATTGTGTAAATTAAATATGGATTCTCAAAAACTCTGAAAAAGTTTTAGAAAATTGAAATAGCAATATTTTTTCTTCAAAATCAGAAACATCAAAACATGCTTATACAAGACTACTAGTATACAACCATTCCCCATGATCAATTATAGATCGGACTTTTTGACATCAAAGACAATGCTTCACTAGAAATGGAACCCAGAAATACCTTCTGAATGGTCATACATATAAAAAGTAACTTTGTAAAAAATCTTTCTGATTCTGCACAAAAATACTCTGAAGTTAATATTAAAATGATGCTGAAGTTCTCATTGACAATATCTACGCTTATCTAGTCTTCGGAGACAAGGTTTTCCAATAATCTGTTGAATTGGCTTATTTTTTAGCCGACCTGTTTTATTTTCTTATGAAGCAGAGTTCATTCAAAAACTTTTACATGACAAGCAAATTCAAAGAATTGTAGTTCCTCGCTTTCAGTGTCTTAGTGGATGGGATGCCATTATTTATGGCATATTGTAACTGTCTAGTTTCTATGTCCTCTCTTGTCTGTGCATCATTAAAAAAAGACAAAAATTATTGAATAATAACAGTTATGGCAAAGATTATAGCTTCTCAAAACTACACCAACCTTCAAGGTCATGAGGTCAAATATCATAATACAATCCGGAAGGTCTTGTCACAAGTAATGCACATGTGCAAATAAATATCAAAAACCAGAGTATGCAATCGAAAAGGTCTTGAAACAGGTAATACACATGTCAGATGTAAATGCCTTCTCTCAATCAAAAGTTATTAGCAATGTTAAATTTTTCAAAAATGAGGTCGAACTTCAAGGTCAGGGTCACTTGGTTAAAAATCATGGTACATTTGATAACATTTTTTGAAAAGTAGGTCAAACATCAAGGTCATAGGGTCAAAAATCATAGCATATTTGGAAAGGTCTTGTCACAGGTAATTTATATGTAAACAAGATGTGTTTGTGAAACACAAATGTTTAAAAGGTACGGCCAAAATTAAAGTTTTTCAAAAGTAGGTGAAACTCCTAGGTCAGGGTCAAAAGGTTAAAGTTGTTGGTATCCAAAGGAAGGTATTGTCACAAGGATTACATATGAGAAGTATGAAAGCCGTAGCACCAAATGTTTAAAAGGTATGACCAAGATTAAAGATTTTCAAAAGCAGGTCAAACTCCAAGGTCAAGGTCAAAGGGTCAAAGTTGTTGGTATCCAAAGGAAGGTCTTGTCACAAGGATTACATATGTGAAGTATGAAAGCCCTAGCACAAACCATTCAAAAGTTATGACCAAGGTTCAAGTTTTTGGAGGGTAGGTCAAACTCCAAGGGTCAAAGTGGTTGGTATCCAAAGGAAGGTCTTGTCACTAGGAATACATATTTGAAGTATGAAAGCCCTAGCACTAACCATTCAGAAGTTATGGCTAAGGTTAAAGTTTTTCAAAAGTAGGTCAAACTCCTAGGTAAAGGTCAAAGTGGTTGGTATCAAAAGGAAATTCTTGTCGCATGGAATTGACATACATGTTAAATATGAAAGCCCTAGCACCAACCGTTCAAAAGTTATAACCAAGTTAAAAGTATTTCAAGAGTAGGTCAAACTCCAAGATCAAGGTCAACAGGTCAAAGTGGCAGGTATTCAATGGAAGGTCTTCCATTCACAAGTCACAAGGAATACACATGTGAAGTTTGAAACCCAAAGCACCAACTGTTCAAAAGTTATGGCCAAGGATAAAGTCTCATAAAATTTTGCAAAAGTGGGTCAAATTCCAAGGTCTAATATGATGGTACCCAAAGAAAGGTCTTGTCGCAAGGAATACATATGTGAAATATGAAAGTCATAGCTCCAACAAATCAAAAGTTATGGGCAAGGTTAAAGTTTTTGCGGACAAATAAACAAACAGACAGACAGACAGGGCAAAAACAATATACCCCCGAATTTTCGATATGGGGGCATAAAAACGAAAGCACTATCTTTTCTCATTCAAAAGTTATGACCAATTTAAAGTAATGTTAAAATTTTTGAAAAGTAGGTCAAACTTCAGGGTCACGGAGTCATAGTATATTTGGAAAGGTCTTGTCACAGATAATGTACATGTGAAATGTGAAAACCCTATTTCTTCTCATTCATAAGTTATGACCAAGGTTAAAGTTTTTGTGACGGACAGACTGACAGACGAATGAGATTTAATATCCCCTCGCTTTCGCAAAAGCGGGGGACAAAAAAGAAGAGAAAACTCTTTATGTACCCTTGAATTTGAGGTATAGGTATATCATCGACAATTAATCGTTACTTTCATTCATATTGCGACTTGATCTCAATGTCTTTCGGTGAACTTGAACAAAAGACACCAGCCTGCCGTATCTGTTTCATGTTTGTCTTTTTTTCTGACTATAGCAAACTATTGGCAAACTAAAAACTACACTATAATACAAATGGCTTTTCCATCGTCAGCTTACATTATTTACATGTAAGTAATAATGAATGTTCCATTATCGCCTGCTTATGGCGTTTAATATACATGTATATCTCACATTTGGTACACAAGAGCATGTTTCGAGGACGATCAATTTTTAACCAAGGCAGACTAATGAGAAATAGATTTATGTCATAGGGCTTTCTACAATCTTGTTAAGTCCAGCATATCGCAAATTCTAATGCAAATTATAATGATCTTGTTTGCAAAAAAACCTATCATTGGGTATTGTTTTAGATGGATACTAGTTTTGACCACAGATTACTCTGTGTGCCCGAAAATACACTCATGACAGTTGTGACGGTCGATAGATGCTCACTTGTCTTAGGTACCAAATACCTGTTCCAACCTTTAGCTCTGGTGTTTCCGGGCATCTGTGCTTTTGCCCTGTTGACGGTTGGTATTGTCTACAGGGTTTTTGAGATTGGTCACAATTCGTTATCCTCACCATTTCTTTCTGGTTTATGAAAAGTACTCATTCTAAGTCGGATTTCGGTTTTTGCTGAGTAGAAAGGCATTTATTTATACAAATATAGCCCTTTCATGATCATCAACTTTACACGTGTACAGAAGCATATCGACCGAACACGAAGTGCTCGGTCGATATGCTTTTCTGCGAAGTCGATATATCTATGGATTGACTGAATGAAAAGGCTACATTTTTTAATATTATTCTTGTACAGAGATTGACAAAACTTTGAAAATAATGGGAACAAACTATGAGTTTTCTCTCGTCCTTTTAATACATAGAGATCAAAATAAATTAAGTTGTTTAGTGTAATTGTGTTTCATTTATACTGATAAAGAAATTTACGGAATTTACCAATTTTAAAGGCTACAGTTTTTTAATTATCTTTTGTAAGAATTTATGAAAAACATATTCTATATCTTTTAATATAAAATAAACCCTTATTCAAGGGATTATAACTTCTGATCAATTATTACAGAACATCACAATCGGAACTTAGAAGCTGATTCAGAAGTATAATTAGATATTAGCAATTAATTTAAGTGTTCTGAGAAAAACATTGGGATTTCTTTCTTGTTCATCTTCTAACTTCTTAATGATTTGTTGCCCACATTATATTCAAAATGCCAAATGCATGGACTATACACGATATTTATGGCAATCTAAGAAGTTTTGATTTCTTTTTTCATTCTAATTTTGGAAAACTTCAGCTTATTCTATACTCCATTTCTACGGAGCATGACCGAGGAGTGCCCAGTAGAGTTGGAACAGGTTATTCAATGTATTACTCATAAAAAAAAAATGAAGTGTGAATATATTTTGAACAGTGAGTGATCATGCTCAAAAGTCCATTTGAAAAAAAAATAAAATTGTGAGCAGAGTCAACACAGATCACTAAAAACCAGACCCAAAGCAAAGTTTTTCGAGGAGGGGGGGGGGGCTGTAAAAAAGGACAACTAACAAAAATTTAACTGCCAAACTTGAAAACCCTATTTCTGGAGTGGGGATATATTGTTGAAACCTTTCAGAACATTTTTTCAAATGCTGGAATTTGTCAGTGTTCAAGCATACTCTTATTACAGCAACAAAAAGTGTATGTGAGAAGGGGGAGTAAAAGCAGCTTCCTAATGAAAATTTACATAGTCTACATCAAAGACCCCCCCCCCCCGTACAACAGGCCTGTAAACAGCAGTGGGATTAAGTGCAATAGAGAAAAAAGCATACCCTGTCGAACGGTCACACCCGCCGTGTACCCCTTGTCATGATCGGATGACCGAAGAAATCCGTAGACAATTCAGTGTGAAAATAATGACCTAACAATTTGTATGAAAGACGTCAGTCAACATTCGACTTAACGACAAATTGTATTTGTAAACAAGGTCATAGTATCGACCATAGAATTTGCAAAATGTTGACTTTAAAAAAGATTATTGATATCCTTGTATCACAAACTTATTTGTCAATAGCCTGCTTCGTTTCAGAAATGTTCATGCACAGAACATGCTAATGCGTATCAAATCAACTGGGAAACATAAACTCATTATGCAGTTGATAATGGTATTTTGCTTCGATCAGAAATAAGGGAAGCAGACGACAGAAAAGCTGAAATCACGTTTATCATTTTATCCTCATGTGAAGTTGTTTTTCTCTTTTTCTAGTAAAATATCCAAACATGAAGTAGATGCGTCAATTTCTGTTGAGTCTTTTATTTGAGTTCAACGAGATTTATCGAATCAACGTAGAAATGAAAATTTACGAAGATTGTAAATTGACATATCGTCGATCTTAAATGTTGAACTGAAAATCACAAGAGACTTCTTTTTTCATATAGAAGTTTTCGAATGAATTTTGCAGAATTCAATTTTAATTAAAAATTTAAGAATACAGAGACAGATCTGTTAATAATGGGGAACAATTAGAAAACATGGAAATTCCAACAGATTGTTGAAATACCTGGTCTCCATGAACTAATAAATCTAATTCTTCTGCTTCTACTTAAAGTTCAAAAGTTACATTCAGGTTGAACGATCTTTACGTAATAGCATGTGAACAAGATTGAGAAGGAACAGTACAATCAACTCAGCTCTGACTTGAAGACTACTTTACTCAATTCGCCGATCAACAATCGATTAACAGTGTGTTGGTATGGCTAAGTTGATGATATAATTGAAGTGATTTAATCTTTATTTTACATATACGTGTATAAGAAAATACCCCCCCCCCCCCCAAAAAAAAATAGACTTTATTTAATAATAGTATTTATTTACTGGGATTTATTTATCTGTTCATTTTATTAGGTCACCTGAGTCACTCAGGTGACCTATTGCTATCTGTTTTCGTCCGTCGTCGTCCGTCGTCCGTCGTGCGTCGTGTGTTAACATTTGAACATTTTCAGCTTCTTCTCTGAAACCGCTGAACCAATTTCAGCCAATTTTTGCATGTGGCATCTATGTGTGAAGGGGAACAAAATTTGTGAATTTCATGGTCCCTGCCCCCCTGGGGCCTGAGGGGTGGGGCTAAAACCATCAAAATTAATGCAATCTTTAAAAATCTTCTTCTTTACTCCTGGACATCAAGCAGTCAAACTGTTGACATGATTGTAATAAGCATTGAGCCCTCTACCAAATTTGTGAAATTCATGGCCCCAGGGTCAGGGGTTCTGGTGATAGGGCGGGGCTATATAGATCATATAGTGAAAGTGCATTATTTCTTTGAAAATCTTCTTCTCTACTCCTGGGTATTATTGAAACAAATTGAATACATAGTTATGATAAGCAAGGGTGACTCTACCAAAATTGTGAAATTCATGGCCCCAGGGTTAGGGGTTCTGGTGCTGGGGGGGGGGGGGGCTCTATAGATCATATAGTGAAAGTGCATTATTTCTTTGAAAATCTTCTTCTATACTCCTGGGTATTATTTAAACAAATTAAATACATAGTTATGATAAGCAAGAGTAACTCTACCAAAATTGTGAATTTCATGGCCCCTGGGTCAGGGGTTCTGATGTTAGGGCGGGGCTCTATTTATTATATAGTGAAAATGCATTAATGCTTTAAAAATCTTCTTCTCTGCTTCTGGGTATTATTTAAACAAACTAAGTACATTATTATGATAAGCAAGGACACCTCTTCCAAAATTGTGAAAGTCATAGCCCCAGGGACAGGGGTTCTTGTGCTAGGGTGGGGCTATATATCTCCTACAGTGAAGGTGAATTATTTCTTTGAAAATCTTCTTCTCTGCCCCTGGGTACTATTTAAACAAACTATGTACATTGTTATGATATGCAAGGATGCCTCTTCTAAAATTGTGAATTTCATGGCCCCAGGGTCAAGGGTCCTGGTCAAAAGGTGGGGGGGGGGGGCTCTATTGATTATATAGTGAAAAATCAAAATTTCTTTGAAAATATTCTTTTCTGCTTCTGGTTAAAAAGCAAAGAAGCTAAGTATATAGTTATGATGAGCAAGAGTGCTTCTTTCAGAGTAGTGAATTGCATGACCCCTGGGTCAGATGTGCTGGTATAAGGGTGGGGCTGTTGATAATGTAGTGAAAATGCATTAATTCTATTAAATAATCCTGTCTGCTCCTTAATGTTAAGCAGTTAAACAAAGTGATAACTTATGATGAGCAAACTTGAAACTTCTGGTCCCAGGGTGAGAGGCTCTGGTGTTTCTCAGTGGTGAAGGGGGGGGGGGGGAGGGGCTCTATTGATAATATAGTGAATCTGTAGTGAAAATGCATTATTTCTTTAAAAATCTTCTCTGCACTTGGGCATATCATTAACAGTTGTAATAAGGTAGGGTATTTTTACCAGATTTTTGAACATATGGACCATTTGGTCAAGTGTTCTGGTCCTAGCCAGGGCTCAATTAATTTGCATTCTACTGAGAGGAGTTATTCCCCTTTGCCGTTTACTTTTGATAATTAATCATTGTAAATAATGTACTTGAAAAATTAATAGAATAAGAGAATTATGCAAGAATTTTTATTGTATAATACAAAAAGTATTTTCATAGTTTTAATGATCATGTGGACTTGTAAGTAATAGATAAATAAAAATGAGACAAAAATAACTTGTCTTATTAAATGTTCATCAAAGACCAAGAGAGGCCAATGTAAGAGATTACAACAAGGAATTAAAATAGTACAAAAGCACTGACAGTTTGTTAATATACTGTATGGTGATAGTGATAAATGGGGAACAGATTAGAACCTAATCTATGAACTGTTAATGAATAGTAGACTAATTATTTTGTTGATCCTGATCACCCTATTTTTCTTGCTTTTGGGCAACAAAGCTTCACCTTTCATTTCATTTTAATACTCTATGGATCCTCTAAATTGTTGTATTCTACTCAGGTGACCGTTAAGGCCCTTGGGCCTCTTGTATTTATTTCAATGAATAATTAATGTTTATTGAATAACAAATCCACAAACTATGTCAATTAATAATATAAACAGCATTGTGAACACGATTTATGATTTGAAAATTTACAGTAAATCGGAAGAGCAAAACAAAAAAAAAAATCACAAAACAACGGTACATTACAGTAGATGTTCTGCCAGTCACCTGCTGTGTAAATGTTCAGTAATGTTCAGTACTGCTAACGAGTCTGTCAGATAAGGGATGCTGCAAATCGATCTGACTCATTGTGGTTCATCTGCTCTTAAGAATTCAGGATGTGTTTTTCTTTATATATTTGTTTTTTTTCCCTGGAAAAACTCCCTTCATTTAAGCAATGAAGGACTTCTTATTGCCATGGTGTATGTAAAATAAGATTTTTCAGCCTAGAGCATCTCACTACGCAAGGTATTCACTTGCTTACACGTACATGTATATGTGCGATTTAGGACTTACATGTTCAGCTATAATGAGTATGCTTCCTTGTACATGGTCTTTCTACTCATATTTTTTTTCATAAAACTATTTTTTAAACTAATTTTCTTAAACAGTTTATCATTATAAAGTTACGTAAATTGCACTTCATCGACATATATATATATATATATATATATATATATATATATATATATATATATATATATATATATATATATATATATATATATAATTGCAAGAAATTTGAGAAAAATACTGAAATCTTAACACATGATCCACTTCCTCCCATGGACAACTGCATTTTATATGAAAATTGTTATCTTATTATTTTTGCTAAAGAAATTTAGAAATACGCGAGGGGATAACAAGTTCATTTTTAAAGAAACATTGCATAGTTATAATCTTTAAATCTACAAAAGCATTAAAAATACATAAAATAATGTATTTCGTAGATCTTAAATATTATTTCAGAAAAATAAAATCTTTAAATGATTTCAATCCCTATAAAAAGCGTCCAGTTAAATGCTGTCAAAAGAGTACAATTACTGTAAGTTTTCCCCTTATCAAATTTCTGAGGATAAAAGAATTCTGAAATACTGATGACCACAACATTATTTCATTAATGTTTCTGTGTCGCCTGCAGAGCAGTGCGACACGTAGGGACCACTTTATCCGGCATTTGTCTGTCTGTCACATCTTATTTATTTAGAACTGTAAGGGGCAAAGATTTGATTTCTTGGTCATTTACTGCTTCGCACAATTGAATTAATTATTTCATGGAGTGTCCCCTTCATGGAAAAAATATACCTCGTTGCAAGTGTCTGATTTACTGAGTTGCTACGGGTTGTAAACCACCTTGATAAACAGGAAGCAAATCTCGGAACTCTTCTGCAAAGTCATAGAACCTGTACATATCTGTTAATAGCGGTTGAGGCTATCTGGTACTAGTAGTTAATAGCATCAGTCGAAGAAAGAATCGGTAAATGTATATATTGGTTAGATTATCGACGGGTTTTTCCATTTACCCGATCATGACAATGAGCAGAAGCACACGACAAGGTGACCGGTCGACAGGGGAAACTTACTCCTCCATGGCACCTGATCCCACCTCCGATGTTTTTTTTAGAGGTCCTTGTTAGCTCTCTCCCGATATTTATTGTTCCAATGGACTTTTGAGCTGATTATTGTTCGTTATCTCCCTATTTCATCACATACTTCATGTAATATATTGGAAGAAGACCTAAATTATATCTTTAACCCAGAATATACAGATGTAGAGAGACATGGGGATTTATTTACACCCTTTCATTTTAGGAAGAACACAAATACTATCAATTCACCTAGAACATAAAAATGTTTTTGGTTTTTACTTTCATTTTTATTTTATGTTACACTTGAGTGAGTAAGAGGCCTGCACAAAACTGTAGAATGCACGCTGCAGCTGCTAAGAAAGCTGACCACTGGATCTTTGGGCTGACAGACGTATGGGATTCGTCCAGCTTACCATAAAACATTACCAAACACAGGGATATAACAAACACTGAAAAAACATGCACAACAATATTATGAAGTAAAAAGGTGGAAGCACCATTAGTACATGTACAGTTTCAAGGCTAATTACAATAAATAACGCTTTTAAATTTTTATGTCAGCTATTAGACAAGAAATGAAACTTTTTTTTTCATCCTGAAAACTGACCTGATATAATACAAAGTGCAGACACAGTCAGCTGTTTATGGTATTTCCATGATTTTGGGATGCTGGTATCAAACTTCTTAGAGGTAAGAAGAATCAATGAACCTACCATCCCAGACCAACCAAAAAGACCCAAAGCTTGAAGAACGTGGTACCATACTGAAATAAGAGTTTCTTTTACACTTTTTATGATTAAATGTGTATATCATCGAGTTTAATCGCAATCTATTATAAATACTTTTTTCGTGTTATGGGTCGGTACATGTAATTACGGGCACCATTACTAGAAAACTAAACTGTAAGAAAAACAACATTTTCATAGGAAAAATACAAGGTAAGTGTTCAGAAAATTGACAATGTGCTGTGTATCAGGAAATTTATGCAATAAAGAGAGCAACATCAACGCCTCTGTAGATCACTAATTTTCGACCCCACTCTATTTAAATGACAATTATGTTTACATAAGAGTTTTTAATCTGAACAATATACATTATGGAACCTTTCATTAGCCAAGTGGGTCGTTTTCCTTTATATGTATCAGTATATTGTCGAATGATTTCATATTGGGCAAAGCTTTATTCAGGCCTGCAAAATAAAATTTTTAGTGTATTATACAAATGTATGTTTAAACTGTAATGTGATAGAAATTTAACAAATCCATGGTTAGACTGTATACATTTAATATGTGTGGTTTATCAAATGTATGGTATGAACAGGTTGTCAATTTAAATTATAAATGGATAACCACGATTGTAAAACAAATATTACAATACATGTATCAGTTTATTCAAAAATGGTCCATTGATGTAAATAATTCCTAATGAGAAATTTACAAAATCTCCGAACAAAATTTTGGATTTGAAAATTTTATTGATAAGTTATCTCCCAAATTTAGAAAAAAAAATACTTTTAAAATTTCGTACTGCAAATCATCACCTACCAGTAGAAACCGGAAGATGGTATGGTATACCACTTTCCGAAAGAATCCGTACACTCTGTAATAATTCTCAAAATGCTGACGAATTCCAGGGGCGTAGCTTCCATTGTGGCAATGAGGCAACTGCCTCACTAGATTTTTCACCACCACCACCTCATCCCATAATCAACAACACATTGCAGATAATTCGTAAAAATTAATGGCATTTCTTTTAACATTTTAAACAGTTCTATAATGTTGAATTGAAGTTTTAAAGAAAGAAGAAAAGTTTAATAAGATGCGCTTTCACCTTTAAATGTTTCAAAAGTTTTAGTAAACATATTAATTAACTCTTTTACATTCTTTTACAATATGTAGTATCATGCTGAAGTCTTAAATAAAGAAACTAGTACAGCAAATGAAATTTCATTGCATTTTAAAACCCAAAACTCCATTTTCTGTCGGAGTGCCCCCCCCCCTCCCATGACACCACCCGGAACCTGCTGGGGGCTCAAGGTTGCCCAAGACCTCTCGCTGCTACATGTATGGTTTTGCCTCACTAGAATTTAAAGTCAAGCTACGCCCCTGAATTCCATTACATCCTAGAATGTAAAGCTTTAGATAATGTAAGAAAAAAAATACCAACGCAATTTTTATTCTTGTAGGCTAAATGTTGTAAAATTCATGGAATTAGGCCTAATGTCAAATAAGAACAAAAAAAAAAATACCCTGAAAAAAAACGTTGTTTATTTTAAAAATTTATGATGCTGTCTGTCCTCCTTGATATATTTCCTTCTCTCTGTTTTCTTTTTAATATTTATACCTATTTTCTGTCATCTTTATGTATTGTATACGTGAATGTACCTCTGACCAAATTATATATAATGTATATATGTTATTAATGACCCCCATGTATTTTGGTTTGGGAGTATAAATTAAACTTGAACTTGGTCTATCGCCTAAAGGACATAATATTAAAAAATAAAATTATTTCATCCTAAGACCGACAGCGAAGTGCACAGCATTGGGTTAATTAGAGAGGGCGAAGAGCCCCCCCACCCCACCCCCCACCCCCACCCCCCCGAAAAAAAATCTGAAGTTACATATGTGTATGTTCATAACTGTAAAGGGAAAAAAGTTACGATTTACGAGGGTTGTCCATTAAGTTCGTAGACAAATGCTATAATTTTCTTAATAATGACCACACTGCCAAATGTGTACGATATTTTCCATGATATGCTCGAAATTGCTAAGTCTTCCTTTGATTGTTTTCATACGTTTTTTGAATAAAAAGACCTCATAATGGCTGAGATCTAGCGAATAAAGGGGGGGGGCTTTGCTTTGTAAACCTTTTTTTCTTCAAAATTTTATTTATTTTTCTATGCTTATTTGCAGCAGCGTTGTCAGGTACAGAAAAATACCATGAGGACCGATATTTGGACTTGCTTTGCAGGAAATCTGCTTAACTTTCTTGAGAGAAACTTTAACATAAAGGTTGCCATTGACAGGTCTTCCTTTGGCTGTGTGTACATGTTTTACTGAACCTCTTGAATAAAAGGAAAATTTACAAAACATATTTGGAGCCTTTGCTTCTCTTTGCAATAATAGGACGTACGACAGGTTCCTCTTTGATTCCATATTTTATTCTTGATCTTCCTTTTTGGCTATAAGAAACTACCCATGTTACGACATCTATCACTCAAGTTTACCAACTCTTCTTTTTTGTAAAAATTCTTCATTTTTAAAATAGACAATTGGGCCATTTAACGTGTGTTTTCTCTTATAAAAGCATTTGTATATAGGAAATAAGGCGCCCATCTGATAGAATTAGTGTTAGATTTATTTCATTTGCGACGATGAAATGTTTAGTGTTTTAGCAATATCTATCAAAGTGAATCTAACATTTTCAGATATCGTGTTGCTCAAAACATTGACATTTTTTGTGCCCCTACAGATTTCGATTGACCAGTTTGACTGCAATCTTTTACTTGTACTTTTTTTACTTTTGAATTTCCGAATCCATCTGAAAACTATAAAGCGTGAAAGACTAGTCTTTCTACATATAAAAATCATATCTTTAATATTGGCTTTTCAGCTATTTATGTAAATGTTTTCACGCCCTCATTCTCATCTTCTTGGTAGAGACAATTTTTAAGCAATAATCAGCTCAGTGTAGTGACCATGCTCACTTTAAAGGTGATTTCCTTTGCGAGAACAATAGGAAAAAGCATAGGGTTTTTTGTGATTAGGGGTTCCTTAATAGAACTTTTCAACTGTTAAAAAATAAATTTAAATACTTCTACATTTATTATGATAAACTGTATGTTGCATTACTTACTGAATGACCCTTGTAGATTTATAAGAAGGTCATGAATAGATACATCGTATCAGTAGTTTTTCACTCTTGTAGTGTCTCATAAATAGTACACATCCTTCAAAATTCGTATATACCAATTTCAAATCATCAAACTAAATATATTCTAATAATTTCCCATTGTTTGAATAATTATTTTGTCTCTGACGTTGTTTAAACCATATAAAAACATGATTTTACAATTGGATGTTTTCGGATGGCCGATGTCCCTAGCTCTTTCTGTCAATTTTTGAAACACACATCTTGCACTTTTTTTCTTAATATTTTCACTAAACAATACTAAATTATCAGAAAATGACGACAACCGCATTTTTTGAGACACATTTAATTTTAATAAATTTTGGCTTGTTTTATGACGAAGATAATCATTTTACTCAGAAAACTTTTTTTTCATGCACACTATCTGCAACCTTTAGAGACCTCGATTTTTACAAAAATATAAGGTTCACACAAACAAAACCAAGCTATCCTGACTCGGATTTTCATAACAAATATTTTGGTATACAATACACACCCAGTTTGACAAAAACATCATTGTTCACGAACTTCATGGACAACCTTCCTATACAAAAGTGTACATCAAAATACCCGTACGTTGAAATACATTTATTCATCAAATAGGAAATGGTATTCTTGCAATTCCAGCATTATATGGATTATTCTTGACTTCAGGCAATCAATATTACTGGATAAATGATTTCCTTAATCTTTGTTTTTTTTATAGAACAGACCTGCTATCGGCTACCTGATACAATATACTACTGAAATTGTCAATAACTTGTTTCAGAAAATCTTCACTAACCTCGGAAATAAAGAAGAATGGTTTTGTTTGTGGGCAAAAAAAAAAAAAAAAAAAAAAAAAAAAAAAAACTAGTGGAAATCGTCGATCAGCAAGAATTTAATACACTTCAATTTCTGAGGCTAATAAAGGCGAGAATCCCTTAGCCAGTAAAGAGGAAACTTTTAGTGGTAAAATAAGCAAATTAATTCAGAGAAATATGGTCCCCGCTTTTGGGGTCTTATAATTGCAATTGTTTTGTTTATCCTGTCTTGTCTGTCCGTCATACTACAGTAAAATTTATATTTTTGAAATAATGTAATCTGGTACAAAAGTTACGGCCAAGATTGACGTTTTTTGAAAATCAAATTTCGAAGTCAGAAGAGATCAAAAGTCATAGTACATTTGGAAAGTTCTTGGAAACCTCCGAAAGGTCTTGTCACAAGCAATGCATATGTGAATTTTAAAAACTCTATGAATCTTCTCTCATTTCGAAGTTATTTCCAGGGTTAAAATATTTGATTGGCAGGTCAACCTTCAAGGTCAATATTATGAGGTCAAAATACATAGTATATTCGGAAAGGTCTTGTCACATGCAAATGCAGATGTGAAATATGAAAGCCTTATCTTTCATTATTCAAAAATCAAAAGTTTTGAGATATTTAGCTTAAAGTTTTTGTGACAGACGGACAGACGAATTTGATTTCAATGTCCCAGCGCTACCGCGAAGCGGCGGCAAACATTTTTGTTAATAAATTACTTCGATAGACCTCTACAGGCTTTTTCCCCCCACACCGTCTTTACTCACAGTAAAATTAGAAGAAGGGGACTCAAATCACAACTCTATGACAAACAGATAAGAATGAAAAGCAAAAAAAAAAAAAACAAACAAACAAACAAAACAAAACAAAAACAAAAAAAATGATGATGAGAAATTTCACATAATTTGATAATTATTACTAAAAGGGTTTGTGGGGAAGGTAGTGGGGCCAGCTGCCGAATTGTGAGCTTATATATAAAAGGTAACATTTTACTCGTAAAATCCTTAAAATTCTTGAGCTTGTGGAGGCTTAAAATTCGCCCCCTGGTGCTTTGTGCTTTGCCCTATAGCTACATGTACCTGAGGCCTTAGGGCGGCCCCAATACCTCCTTCTTCTCAAACTAATTAATCCTTGGTCTAAAGTCAATTTGTAATTGCACTTCATCTTCTGTAAAACCTAATTATATGTTCTAATGGACTACATTTTATAATTGTCATTCCATACCTGGTTCCTCCGTAAAGAATGCTGGAATAATTTGGCACGACAGGTAATCGCAGTATCTTGCTACCCACAAACCATAGGACACATCAGGTAATTGGAACCACGAATGACTGAAACAGGCTAGGCTGTACAGAACATTGGCTGTAATTAGAAGTAGGATCGATATCCGCTCGTATATTAACATTAGAAGAGTGGATCTTGACTAACATACCCATCAAAAACAAACATGAATAAAATATTACTGTTGTACAGTGTTGGTAAAATATATTTACTCTGAGTCAAAGTATTTTGTGCTTGGCAGCGGCCGATCACAGTTGATTCCACCTGACGCATCATTTACGCGCACATGACGCGACTGATAGTTTATTTATAATACTATGCGCTGATAGCTACATGTAAATATTGTATCGTGTTTTGAATGGACGATTCTTTTAATCGTTTACTTTGAATTCGTGGTGTATGAACTATGTGCGCAAGAATTTTATTGACTAAATGGAACTGCATATTAACAATTAACAATCACTAACAATAGTGATTTCCATTCACATGTCGACACGATATATCCCAGTGAGCTTGTAATAAAAGATACCACAGAGTCTGACACATCTGTTTCATATTTGGATATTTTACTAGAAAAAGACGTTAATGGTAATCTAACAACAAAGCTTTATGATAAACGTGATGACTTTAACTTTTCAATCGTCAACTTCCCTTACTTATGCAGCAATAATTATATACCCTTATAACCTGCATATGGGGTGTATATCTCTCAGTTGATTCGATACGCAAGAGCATGCTTTACGTATGAACAATTTCTAAAACGAGGTAAGTTATTGACAAACAAGTTGATGACACAAGAATATCAACAGTGTCGTTTAAAGTCATCATTTCGTAAGTTCTATGGCCGATGCAATGACCTTGTCAGCAAATACAATCTATCATTAAGTCATATGCTGACTGACGTTTTTTCATACTAATTAGACCATTATTTACATTCTGAATTGTCGACAGATTATTGAGTTAATAACCGATTCTGACAAGGAGCACATGGCGGGTGTGACCAGTTGGCAGAAGATGCTCACTCCTCCATGGCACCTGATCCCTACTCTGATGTTTTAAGTTTGAGTACTGTTCGTTATCTCCATATTTCATGTCCATCTTTTCCTTTCCTATCAGGGAATCATTGTCGTTTCAAGTAAAACAAACTTTTACTTAAATTACTTTTAGTATTTTGTTTTATTCGTTTATAAGTTGATATTTTGTATATACGCCACAACTTTGACATCTGAATATTACATATTTTCGGTATGAAAAATGAACTGACATACATGGCTGTAGGAAAAGGGGAGGTATAGTGTTTGGATAAAGAGTGTGCATTCAGAGCATCTTTTTGTCCTTGACCCTTTTAGTATAAAATGGATACGCTCTTTTTGTTCAGCTTAGTTTTAACAAAGTTATATAACTATCGATTCCGCATGAATAATCGCTGATATCACTTGTTCAAAATTGACATCACTAATTCGAAAAAAAAGATGTTACCTCAAAGAATCTATATTTCGGGTAAGTGATTACTTAAGTTCAAACTGGTGATTCGATTATATTATCATGGGGTACTCCAGGCTGTAACAATTGTAGGCTTTGCTATAGCCTTATTATGCGGTGTCCAATTCACTGTCATGAATTTCCATCTTAAAGGTGTGTTCAAAGTCGACAGCTTGAAATGCAGTCCCTGAAAATACATTTTTTCCATGCTTCTTAATATTCTACTTTAGGCATTAAGCATTTGACATCATGACGTTTCCAATGTGCTATTCTAAATGCAGACATAAATATACTTTACCTGACATCAGTAATTCCATTATCTACAACCAGACACACTTTTTGAACAAGCTATCAAATGAAATAATATGCATGGCGCATAGTAAATATAGTTCCTGCACATATACTAGTAGTAATGTACTTCTCTTTTCGATGTATATATACACCACTACAAACTCATATCTTGTAATTGTCAATGTGTCCAGGCACGAAGTATCGTTTTTGAAAGGGGGGGGGGGGCAGAAAAAAAAGAACACTTAATGAAAATAAAAAACTTTGACAAAAAAAAGGGGGATTGTCCAAAAAAAAAAAACTATTTCGGGGAGGAGGGGGTTCAACTTCTTTTTACAACCAAATTTTATTAAATCAATACATTACCAAACAAGAATTCTGTGAGCGAATGCTCACTTGTAATACCCCCGCTCGGCTGTGAATATACACTCTCACGTTGACATCGAATTCATACAAAAATGAATCCCACCATTTGGCATGCCTAAACAAAGATTGTGCTAAAATTTCAAGCATCTGCGCTGAGCAGTTGCTGAGAAAACTTTGACGAAAATTTGGTACGAACAGATGCACGGATAAACAGGAAGTTGACATCGAGTTCGAACAAAAATGAATACCATCATATGGCATGCCTAAACAAAGATTGTGCTAAAATTTCAAGCATCTGAGGGAATAGTTGCTGAGAAAACTGTGGTGGAAAATTGATACTGACAGACGCATGGATAAACAGGAAGTTGACATCGGATTCAAACAAAAATGAATCCCACCATATGGCAAATCTAAACAAAGAGTGTGCTAAAATTTCAAGCATCTGTGATGAGTAGTTCTTGAGAAAACTGCGACGCAAAATTTGTTACGGACAGACGCACGGATAAACAGATAGTTGACATCGAATTCAAAGAAAAATGAATCCCACCATATGGCATGCCTAAACAAAGAGTGTGATAAATTTTCGATTTTCAATCATCTGTGATGAGTAGTTGCTGAGAAAACTGCGACGAAAATTTGTTACGGACAGACACACGGACACACAGACAGACAGACACACAAGGGTAAAACACTATACCCCCTCTCCTTTGGAGCGGGGGTATTATTACCTACGACAAAAGGGGGGGGGGGGCAACAAACCTTTCAATGAACATTTTCAATAGTACAAGGTAATGTTTGGCTACCCACAATGATAATGACGAAGATCGTCTCAAACACTTTTCCCCAAAAATCTCTCTCGTACAACTAAGCTTTCTTCAAACATAACATTAATTGTGTCCCATTTAATACTCACGTATTTCGGTTTCAGGGTGGTGTATTTTGTTTAATGTGTTTTTGTAAGTCTGTCTAAAAACACTAATTAAAAAAAAATTAAAATCACTGAAACTATCAGTTATATGGCATGTCAAACGTTGCAATATTCGATCTTTTCCATTTGCAATGTATAATTTTCCATTTGCATTGTATAATTTTTATTTGTATTGTATAATTTTCTATTTGTATTGTATAATTTTTCATTTGTATTGTATAATTTTTATTTGTATTCTATAATTTTCTATTTGTATTGTATAATTTTCATTTGTATTGTATAATTTTTATTTGTATTGTATAATTTTCCATTTGCATTGTATAATTTCTTATTTGTATTGTAAAATTTCTTATTTGTATGCGATAATTTTTCATTTGTATTGTATCCGCGGACTGTTTATTTGTTTCGTTACGAAGGATTTCATTGGTCAAGTTTCAGCCTGTATCGGGTTGAAGATGTTCCGGATGCTCAAAGCAAACTGGGCTCATATGTATTTGCTTGATTGATTGATTGATTATTGTTTAACGCCGAGTCGGCAATATTTCAGCCATATTTCGGCGGCATATGTATTTGCGTGCATGTTAGACGGTCACTGGATTCTAAAAAGGGAGCGCTGGTAGATGGCAAATAAATAATCTGTCCTTAGGAATGCTGACTGAGAAAATAAATAAATTGACCTTGAGTAGTGGTAACTACCCCCACCCCCAAAAAACTGAGTTTTCGGGTTTGGGCGGATTTTCTTCTTTTTGTTTTTCTCCTTGTCTCTGGTCATATTGGAAATAAATATTCTCTCCTGCGAGAGAATGAAAATAAATAATCGGATTCGACACCCCCCGGGAATCAAATGGTCGTCCCTTAGCATGCACCGCAAATAGAGGAGCCGAGTTTGTGTTTGTAGAGAGTGCGCGATCGGAATTGTGGGAAGGGTACCAGACTAAGTTTGTGATGGGCACCTGAGACCTTTATACAGACTAAATTTTATGACCAATGACATCCTTCGTAACGAAATAAATAAACAATCCTCGGATACAATACAAATGAAAAATTATCGCATACAAATAAGAAATTATACAATACAAATAAGAAATTATACAATGCAAATGGAAAATATAGAATACAAATGAAAAATTATACAATACAAATGATTTTTTTTACAACACAAATGGAAAATATTGAATACAAATAAACATTATACAATCCAAATGGAAAATTATAAAATCCAAATGGAAAATTATAAAATACAAATAAAAATTATACAATACAAATTGAAAATTATACAATACAAATGAAAAATTATACAATACAAATAAAAATTATACAATACAAATGGAAAGTTATACAATACAAATGGAAAAGATCGAATATTGCAACGTTTGACATGCCATACAGTTAATACAAAATATCTCATATTTATGTTCTTAAAAAAATCACATTTCATGGAATGTAGTTTTCATGATTATGACGATACGTGTATTTATTTATCCACTATATCTAACAATTTTTTTTTCACTTCTACAGTTTTATTTATCTTTTTAAGAAAATCCTCAATTCCGTTCTAGGACCTAAAGTAATTGTTTGTTTCATTTTCCAGATTAATTTAAAAGCTACCGTGGTTTCATTAATGTTCGTATGGATCAAATTTCGTTGCAGTGCAGAAAAATCTCCAGATATTTGAATTCGTAAGCGAGCTACCTCCTCCTATTCTCTCATTAGTAAATTGTAGCTTCGTTGATCATCAACTTAAATAATGTCTGGCTCAAACACGAAAACAAAAATTGATGTTTAGTAACAAAGAAATAAAACCACAATATACTAATTTGAAATTTTGACTCGAAACTGTTCCCAGTTGGCCTAAAAGCAGGGGTAACATGAACATATACAATACCCATTTGTATATATATATATATATATATATATATATATATATATATATATATATATATATATATATATATATATATATATATATCTGTGTGTGTGTGTGTGTGATAAAATATGATCGACACTCGTGGTTATTTCTCACACGCGACTGCAAGTTGGTTTACAGCACCCCCCTCAACCAAAGTTGCAATAGGACATGCCTTCTGTTTTTGTGAATTGGAAACACAAGT